TGTGGAATGCAAGCAGAAGAGATAATAAATGTATTTGTTTCATTACAGTATTTTTTAAAAATGTAAAAACCATATAACAATGGCACCAACTATAAGCTGACCTCTAGCTAAAGTACACATTAATTATCCAGCTTAAGTCAAGCGGATGCTCAAGAAAAGAGGAGATAAAGTTACCCTCAGCTGGATACTTTGTAGTAAACACAAATGTAATATAAAGCGTACCAGAGTTTGTCAAGTGTCTGTCTGGATTTTCAGTTTTCATTAGTGCCCTAATTAAAACCACATTTCTCCACTGTGTTACCTATAACTAGAAAGGAATGAGAAATGAGGTTGTCAAGGTCAGTCACTCTTTGCTCTTTGTGTTGAGGATCTGCAGGCCATGAGTTGGATTTTGGTGTAAGCCAGAGAACTGGGCTGGAATGTCATGTTACAGCTAATGTTTTGCAGTTGAAAAGGCAAAGCTATGAGGTCACTTCCTTTAAATCACCAACAGAACATGTTTATCTGAATGGTATATGTGAGACAAGGAGGGGGACAGACTGATGACAAGCGGAAATAGCAAGCTTCCTGAACGCATGTCTATGGATACTGTAGGCTCAAAAAAGGAGGACAGGGCTTATTTTGAGTAAGGTTAACCAGAGAAGTAGTTGGGCCAAGCCTGAAAGCTATAAACAAAAATAAAACCTCATTCATAGGTAGGAAGATGCAGTTGTTCCACATGTGTTTATTATGACTACAAAGAACGCTTGATCCCAGTATTTAGCTCTTAAGAATTTCTGCTTGAGCAGGGGGTTGGACTAGAGACCTCCAAGATCCTTTCCAACTCTGTTATTCTGTTAAGAGTGAAGGAAAAAAGCTAATGTTGTTACATACTGTAGTAGACTATGGCAAAATTCTCTTTTCATTACAGCTTAATCTTACATTAAGGTTATTCAACAGCTAGACGGTTCCCAAGTATTTACTCTCAGCTGAATTAAAATCTCTCAAGGCCTTACTTGCTTAAATCTGATTCCAGGAAGATTAGATTCAAAACAATTCTGATCTTTATAGGTATTGTAGAGACACATCACAAATTTGATTATCAAAGGTCTTCATGACTGCTCTATCAAATGCTAGTCTGCAGCGTATTTCTTGACTGCTTGTTCCTTTACTCTTGATGGTTGATCTTAAAAGGAAGAAGCCATACATTCCTTTGGTAACTTCATTTTCAGTTCTAAGGTTAGTTGTTCTACCTGTCATCTTTAGGAAATCACAATCATTGTTTGTTTTCATATATACTGGCACAATATTATAAAGGCAATCTTTAATTATAATATCAAATAAATTTTAATATTTCCTGTATATTTCATTAGGAATGATCAAAACAAACTATGAGCAACAGAAAGTTGCAATGTGCAGATAGGTGCATCTTGGGTAAGAAATGGAGAATTATGGATGCATAGAAGTGGAGATAACAAGTAATTCTGACCACCGTTAAATAAAAGTGCTTCTGCGGGCTGATAGCTGTACTTTGCTATAACAGTACATTAAAAGAAAGTGTACTTCAACAATTTCATTAACTGACTTTTTTAGAAAGAAAATACTGTATACCTTAAATGCTTGGCATACTAACCGGTAGCAAGCCATGTATATATAGCAGAAAGAAACTTGAATAACATCAATAACAATATGGAAACATATTCAAAATATAAAGGCAGTTTTACAAACAAAAGTAAATTCAGAAACTATGTCTTCAGATATATTTTGAATGTTTTATGTTTTTGCTTTCTTACAATTTCTTTTTAATACAAAATATGATTTATTTTAATAGTTGTTTAAAAAAATGAACAGTTTAACGTACATAAAATACAAATTATTCCATTTTTACACTCTCAAAATAAAACAGATAAGCACATCAAAAGTTCAATGCTGAATCATATCAAAGACCTGACATAGTCAATAGTTTAGATAATCTGAATATCTTATTTTTCTTTGTAATAGTAACAATTTTAAAATATGTTTTTAAAGTACTTACACTCATAAAGCAAGAGTGCCCTCTACAGTTGCAGATGCATTAGGCCAAAATGCTCTTCTTACATCTATTTAATAAAGGAAGCAGGAGTCACAAAAAATAGTATGATTAATAAAAATATTATTGTACATATAGTTATAGACAGTGCATTTTTTCTGGAAAAAAAAAAAGGTGCCGGAACTCCGTTCTGGGCGTTCTATGAGAAAAAAAGCCCTGGTTATAGATGTATCTTCGTATTTGTGTCCATGTATTGATGCTGCAATGTTTGCATCTATGTACTATAATAAAATTTAGTGATAAACATAGGAAGTATACAATCCTTTACCCACTTATTGGAAGTTAAGTTTCACTTAACTTACTTGATATATATGAAAATATACCAGTATATTTTGCTATTAATTGTGCTATTAATTTCTGTATTTAATCTAGACTATTAATATATTCACAATATGTTCAGAAACATAACTTTATTTATTAAATACATTTTCTGATACCAAATGGATTACACCAGGGGTGTCAAACTCGCAACGCCATGTGACATGTCGCAACGTATTGGGTGGGCGTGGTTTCAGCATGACGCATCCGGCCCATGGGCCGGCAGTTTCACACCCCTGGATTACACTGACATTTTATAGGGAAGAAATTATATTGTTCTGACACTTAAGATGGCAATTAAGAGCCATTGGAGGCTCAAAAAATATAATGCAATGTCACTCACTGCCAGTATTCACTTGGCTTCTCTCCCAAGGACAACTACAATCAGGGCTTATTTTATTTTCTAGAAGAGGAAGAGGAAATATAAGTTATGGATTTACATCTATGGAATTTATCTGCAAATTTTAATCAGAACCACAAGCTAGATATTAAAAAAGTGGAAAAGGGTTATTGTTATCTTGTCTGCTTGGGAAACTCAGTCACCACAGGCTGGGGATGAGCAGAATCATAGCCAACATGCCTGGATGATACCATTTCACACAATACATACATGGATCTTTAAGGCACCCTTGATATAGTCTCATCTTGTAAGATGTGCAAATTTCAACTTCCAGAATATTATCGCCAAGTTTGAAAAACACTGTACCAAAGAAAAAAAATATCATCTTTTAAGGAATAGGCTGCTTTTAAAATTATGAACTCTTTAGTGTATTCTGGAATCTGAAGTTCACACATCACTCTTTTTTGATTTTTTTAAATCCCAGTTTTATTATATTTATAAATAATACTCCCTCCTCCTCCTAGTTTCCCCACGACCCTGTGAGATGGACTAAGGAGAGAGAGAGACAGAGAGAGACACTGGCCCAAGGCCATCCAGCAAGCTTTAATGTCTAAAGTGGAGAGAGAGCAAGAGCTGTTCTAAATCATTCTTCAGCTTTGCCCTCAAATATTTTTCCTTTGTTTAGAGACACATTTCTACTTAAGTCTCATACCTTTTCTATTCAAAATTTGCATTAAAAAAACTACCTGTCTCTTGAACAATTCCTTCAACAGAAACAGATGTTAAATACTGAACTACTTCCTGCTTTTTATGAAAATTTATCTCCTGACTCTACACGTTCTCTTAAAAAAAAAAATCCATCGAGTTTGCTCTACGTCAGGAGTAGGCAACCTTGGCTCTTTTATGACTTGTGGACTTCAACTCCCAGAATTCCTCAGCCAGCAAAGCTGGCTGAGGAATTCTGGGAGTTGAAGTCCACAAGTCATAAAAGAGCCAAGGTTGCCTATTCCTGCTCTACGTGTTCCTGACGCCTAACCGAAAAGAACTTTAAAGGCGCCCATTATACTGTATTCCGACTCTCAAAGTCATCATCCAGTAAGAATCATCCTTTCAAGTTAAGGAAAGGAAACTCACTAGGGCGGGAAATTTATTTATTTTTCCTGCAGGTTGATTGGCTAAAGGAGGAAGTTTTCGCGAGGGGTGGAGTAGCAGCCGCTTCCTCGAATCAGCTTTTTAACTGATTGGTGGGGAGCTGCGGCTTTTTGGCGGGAATTCGCATCGCTGAGGTATGGGGTATCCTAGCAACAGAGGGGGGGGAGCTTCTATTCGGCATTATTTTCTGCATTTTGGAGCAAAAACGTTATTTCCTTTTCCCCCGCCTCAACTTGAATCTTTTGCCATTAGAGTTGATAAGCGGGCTCGAATTTGTTCGGAGTTTCCTTTGGCCACGGTGGGCAAACTATTAAATTCTGTTTTATTGATTTTAGGCTAGAGCAGGGGTAGGCAACCTTGGCTCTTTTATGACTCGTGGACTTCAACTCCCAGAATTCCTGAGCCAGCCATGCTGGCTCAGGAATTCTGGGAGTTGAAGTCCACGAGTCATAAAAGAGCCAAGGTTGCCTACCCCTGGGCTAGAGGATCTCTTAAAAACCATTAAGATCTTTGTTGTTTGAGTTAATGGAAGAAAATATAGATGGAGGGAAGCCAAATTAGCAAGGAAACTTTGTCTAAACGTTTATCAATTTGGGCTAATTATTTGAAACGACTCGGGGACCCGAGGAGGCGTTCCCAGCGGCTCGCGCGCGAAGCCAGATTTACCACTTCTTCTAAGGCGCCGCCCCCCACCCCCCAGTTGCCTAACCCCGCCCCATCACAGGTTAGGGAATACGATTGGTGGATTATTCTCCCGCTACCACTGACGTTCTACGAGAGGAGAAACGAAGCCGGGAGGAATCGGCCAATGGCTGCCTTCCAATTGTCCCCTACGGAAACGTCTTAGGCGAAGCTCCTATTACGGGCGCCGCGTGAGGATCAACCCGAAGAGTAGAACAGGTTGCGAGCTGGTGAAGGGGTATCTTGGCGTAAGCCAGGGGTAGGCAACCTCGGCTCTTTTATGACTCATGGACTTCAACTCCCAGAATTCCTGAGTCAGCTATGCTGACTCAGGAATTCTGGGAGTTGAAGTCCATGAGTCATAAAAGAGCCGAGGTTGCCTACCCCTGGCGTAAGCTTTGGTAAGCTTGCAAACACTGACACGGCTCACCGCTTACAGCATCTGATGACGTGAGCTACCTGAAAATGTATGCCTTTTCATAAAAATGTTGTTAGTCGGAAAAGGTGCTACCAGACTCCTTGCACATTTTCCCACAAATCTCTTTATCACACGCCACTTTATTCCCGCAGGCTACGGTTTCTAATGGCTTTAGTCATTTTTGTTTTAACGGTGTCTGTTGTTACGACTGTGGTTAATTTTGCATTTGGTGTCTTATTAGCTGGCCAGAGTCACCTATGTGAGATAGATAGGGTAAATATCAATAATGCATTTCTGCCGGCTGCAATTTCTAATGCTCGTTAAACTGAAAAAAGAATAGTACGATGGGAAGGTGCGATATTCCCAGGATAGCTAATTGGAAATAATTTTGAGTTGTATAGTATTTAGATTTGATTCCATAAAGATGCTTTGGAGCATGAAATGCAACAGCTGCATTTCTCCCACCCACCCACCCACCCACCCAAATCGTCTGGCTACCTTCTACAATTAAGGTGTGATTTCAGGAAAGGCTTTAAAGAATTCTGAACAGGTGACATGGTTGCAGCTTTGCATGATCAGAAGAGCTTTCTGGAATTTATTTTATTTTAATTGTTTGTGAAATTTATTTGCAGCTCATCTTGTATCCAATGAATCTGGGCAACTTAAAACAAATTATAAGGAAGTAAATTTTATGCACGGCAAAGACCTAATTAAATAGCTCATATTTCTCCTGAAATTGATTATATCTAGTTATTAGATGTCTGTTTTCTTCTCCCACCTACTATATTCTTACAACTAATTCTAACAAACCATTTATAATTCTTGCACTCCTTATTCCTTTTTGAAAAAGAATGAGCCAAAAATCAAGTCCTTTTATCATTCTAGTCACATACTTAATCTCTGTATCCCTAAGCTGGTTCCAGTGGTTCCTGGATCTGATGCATACTTGTTTCTTTTGCCATCAAATCTCAGCATTGTTCTGTTATTTTTCTCACAACTCAATATATCCTAGTCTTTGATGCTCTTCCTTTCACCACTATAGCCATTCAAAGGTCACCAGGTGATCTACAACTATAACTCTTACCTTCTAATGTTAATTTTTACCTTCCAAACTGCACATTCCTCTCCTCCTGTTCTTATTTAATTTGAAATGTTAGAGGCAATCTTAATTTTAATGGGCATAAGCATTAAAAATAATTAAACATACCAGGCCTAATCATAGTTACTTGTAGCCAGTTGTAAAGGCTTTCAAGATATTAAATTCTTGCGTGTGGAAAGGGAAATTAACGTGGCTATCCTGTGATAACTTATGCAGCAAATGTGTTGATGGCATAAAAATATTTTCTTGCAATCTTTCCTTGAGATGTGTGCAATGCAAGTAAATGAGTTTGACTCATCAGATGAGGAGCCCCTGGGGGAAGAACAGACACCTTTTCAAGTATCCTGGTAGGTGGTGGAGCAAAAATCATCTTTTAAAATTTTTGGACCAACTTTAATATTCTGGCCATACCTGATTCACATATTGTCTTTCTTAATTTACTCCATAGTATATAAATGATATGTCACTATTTAATTTTCTGCCATCTTATTTAAGCGACAGTCTTCTGAACACTATAATAATTTTCATTCTGCTTTTCAGAAATTCAAAGTAATAACTTTGTAACATAACTTTATAACATAGCCTGTTCTTACCTTTTCTATAAATTGACTAAACATATGGAAAGGTTAAATGTTTTTTTAATTTTTTGTTTTTAAATTTTCTTTGTACATTTCTTGGTATTCTTTGTGTATAAGTGTATGCAAATGAGGCTATTATGTAAAAATTGTACCTGTAATGTGATTAGGAAGACTGATTGTGAGTATGAGACAATGATCTCATCCCAAAATAATGGACTCTAGAATGAGGGGATCAGTATAAGTCTTCTATTGGTCTAGTATTGGTCTAATATTCTCTACTATTGGGATCAATATAATACTCCCCCCCATGTATTCAGTGTACATGTAAAGATTAAGATGAAAGTAAAGTTACAGAGGAGAATGCTTAATGGATGCTTTCCAGCATTAGGCACACCTATTATAATCACAACCTGAAAGTTTGAACCTTATCCAGACATCTCCATGTCTGAAATGTGATTTCTAATGCTTATAAAAATGTGACATACATGGGGGTGAATATTTTCACTAAGCTATTTTTCCATCCTTGAATATATTTATTACTCTTTTCCAAAAATGGAATCACAGATTGTAAATATTTCAAAAAATTCTGTAGACTGTCTAGCAGCCCAATCCCTTGCCTAGTGCAGGAGTCCATTATTACAACATCCGTGACAGATAACCATTCAGTATTTTCCCTTATTTATTTATATCCCACCTTTATTATTCTTACAAATAACCCAAGGTGGTGAGTTCTTGAGACACTCCGATTGTTGGAAATATATTTCCATTAGGTGCCCAACTAAAATCTACTTGCATGTAGTTTAAATGCACTGTTTTTTTTGTCCTGTCTTCTGGAGTAACTCTGAACAATTCTGTCCCATCTTCTGTATGAGAGATATTCAGTTATCTGAACGTCTGTAAAATCCCCATGATCATAAGAATATATATCATAAATAGAAAAATAATTGTAATGCAAACAAATGTTTACTTACCTAACTAGATAAACAGAATGATCACAGGTAGCTAAAATAGTAGGGAAGCAGGACTTCTAACTTCCTGCTGGCTTCTCCATTGTCTTTGCTTGTGGAAAGCTGGGAGGTAGCATCAGAAGTAACGATCATGTGACTGTAGAAATACTGAAATGCTCCCAATTTTGTGAATAAAACTGGTCTGAATTTGGGCTAACCTGAGAATATACTATGATAGTTTTAGCAGTAAACAAAATATGCAGATCAAATAATTACATTTCATATGAAATGTACACTGATTTTGGTTGCATATTTATGTTAAATAGACTAAAACTTTTCTCTTAGGAAACTCTTATATGTGGGATTAGTGAGTAAATTTATCAGTTCACTCTTGTATATTTTATTTATTTGATTAAAATTGCCACACTCTCAGTAGTTCACAAAGTAAAAAAGCATAGGACAAATCATATTTAAACAGTGCATGACATCAGCCCCCCCCCTTATCTGGAAATACCCTTTCTTCAGCTTTTTCTGGAAGGTGGATAATGTTGGAGACAGACTGAATCTCCAGGGAGAGGTCATTAGAGGACCAGCTCCATCACCAAAAAAAATTCTTCTGTGTTTTACAACACCCCAACCTCCTGAAAATGAGACATAATTAACTTTTTCCTGTTATGATTGAAGTGGTTGAGCTGTTTCTAGTGGAGAAATGCAATCCTGCAGTAACTAGGCATCAAGCCATAAAGGGCTTTATAGGTAAAACCAGCACTTTAAACTGCATCCAGAAGTTAACAGGAAGCCAAAGCAAACTATGTAATATATGCATGCGAGCACCTGGGCCATTGCATTTTGCACTTAGCAAACACCCAAGTTAGGTGGTGATGGAGGTGTGTGAGGCATTGTAGTCAGGTCCTCTAATCCCAAGTAAAGCCACAAACCGCCAAACTTCGGCAAAGGTCTCCTGGCCACAGCCTCCACTTGCTGATCCACCAAGACCCCTGAAGGTAAAAAGATGCTACTTCATGGGCATTGAAATCCCATTCATAGAATTATAGGGCTGGAAGGGACCTTGGAGGTCTTCTAGTCCAGGGGTTAGTCTGGGCCACACAAAGCCCCATTCGTGGGATGCAGGCAGCACACAAACCATGCCCCTTCCGATCCATGGAAAAACCTCTCTTCACGTAACTGGTCCCTGGTGCCCAAAAGGTTAAGGACCTCCTTTATTGCATCTTGAACAAATGGCTGTCCAGTCTTTTCCTGAAGACCTCCAGTGTTGGAGCATCAACAACTCAGGGAGGCAAGCTATTCTATGGAGTAATTGATCTTACTCTCAGGAAATTTCTCCTTAGTTCCAGATTGAGTCTCTCTTTAACAAGCGCCCAGCCACTGCTTCTTGTCCTGGGTTATTCAAATTATATTCACTATTCAAATTTTTATAAATGGTTAGAAAAACAGAATAAAGGCTAGGAATGGAAATTGTATAACTATTAATGTTAAACATACAAACCCAGACAACATGTTGCTTATTAAATACTAAAGACTGTTACTGTAAAAAATTAATAAAATATATATATAGCAGATTATATTCACTATTCAGATATAAAATATGAGGTGTACAGAATCCCAATGTATAAACAGCTTCATCTTGCTGGGGTTTATTTGTATGTCTTGATAGCAAAAGAAGTAGATAACAATATCAGTTTGTAAAAACTTAACTGCCGTTGGATTTTGTGCATTCTCGTAGGTTACCCTTATCACCAGCTTATTCCCAATTCCTAGGAATCAGCTCGCTACCAGGTAAGTGCATAGAAGTAGCTAAAAATGAATCTATGATTGTTTTATATTTATAGTATTTGTTTTAATAGCAGTGTTTGTTTCTTTTCTTTTTCCTCTTTCTTACTTGATTAGGTTGTCGGTTCAAAAATATTAAAAGAAACCTTCAGAAAGATATAGGTAATTATCTATCAATGGCACAGAGGTATGTCCTTCAGTAGCTTATTTTTCATAAAACTACTTTTAATGCCTTGGAACCGCAGTTAATCATTTATTTGTGTTAAAGACCTGTATTCCACAAACCTATAACACTGTTGTAAGAAACACAAAAGTAAGGAACAGAGAATTCCATGAAGCAATTGCATTAACATATGGCATAAAAAATACCCATTCTTGCACCTGAAAGTAGACTACGTAGATAGCACATGAAGCATCCTGAAAAGACATTCCAGAACTGGAACTCCAGCATGGACTTTCTGTTAACCACTTGATTAACATCAGATGATGGGCAACTGGGAAAAAAGCCTCAAAAGCAAAACATAATGCATGGGGAAGTTCATATGGCAATCTTAGTTAAGTATGAGCTTTGGTGAAATAACAGATTGGTTTGTCAAATAAGTACTTTACATGGAAAAAGTGCTTTTAAAAATACACATTGTAATTTAAAATTTAACCCTGTAGATGTTGGTACTCTCTAGCATCACTCATCATTAAGTGCAGCTGCTGGCATTTAAGATTCAGCAAGAGGCAAGACTATAGGTTTTCCTTGATTTAAATGGTGTGGTTTTATAATTTCTACTTGTAATTTTTGTATATTCTTTTTTAAAAATAATGTAAGCATTTTAAGAGTTTTCTTCTGAAAGGGACATTTTATTAACACTATTTTTAATTTAATAATCTTACCATATACTCAGTAAATATTGCTGTCTTTCTTGAAACCTCTTGTATTTGCTAACAAAATGAAATAACAAAATAGCAAATTTCGCAACAAAGTGCAATTTCTACTGCTAAAATTAGGCAGACTTAAATCTGACATTTTTATTTGCCTAACAGATGATAACATACATATTACAACTGATGGCAAAGCTACTTAGAAAAGTTTGCAAATTACACTTTTCTAACTGGTTTTGCAATCAGTTGTATGAATATCATAGATATATATGGATTCAGATTTGTATTTTATTTAACACCTTAGCAAATATGGAACTATGTTGCCTTTTTTGTAGATGAACTAAAAAGTCACGGGGTGCTGGATGTATTTGTTCTCTGTACCAAAGGAGAACTCACAAAGTACCGTGTCCCACACCTCATGGAAACGTATCAGAATTATGGGATCACTGTGCATCACCATCCTATTTCTGATGGAAGTACACCAGATATTGCCAGATGCTGTGTTATTCTAAATGAACTGAGGAACTGCCTTGAAAATAAACGAAAAATCACAATACAGTTGAGTTTTGTTATTCTAGTCCTTTATCCTCTTTGAGTAAATAAAAGCGATTCAATCACTGAATGTTCATCTGCAATCCCTGTGCCGAAATTTGACTTCTATTTGCTGCAGTCAGCTTCTGCTGTATCATTCCAAAATGCAGATCAAAGATACATACTTTTTTCTGCTTTCTATCTAAGGCAGCGGTTCTCAACCTATGGGTTGCGACCCCATTCGGGGTCGATCGACCATTTCACGGGGGTCGCCAAGCAAGGCTGTCCGCCATTTTTCCCCCTTTTCCGGCGGGTGCCTTACCTCCCTTGGGCTGGGCCAGCTGGTAGTCGGCCTGCTCCGTCTCTGCCGCTTGCCAGCTACGCCTCGGCTGGCGCAGGGGGCGGAACCACGCATGCGCGGCACTCCCGGGCAGGGAAAGTCCTCGACTTACGACCGGTTTAGTCCTCGACTTACGACCGGTTTAGTCCTCGACTTATGACCGGTTGGGGGTCGCGGCATTAAAAAGGTTGAGAACCACTGATCTAAGGGACTTCAAAGTTGTACTGAAGAGTAGAATGCCCAGTCTCCTATTCAGATTCCTTTGACAATTTCAGTAGCATAAAAAATACTACTCTAGAATATATGATAACAGCTTATTGTGAGAAAGTTGATAAGCACCAATATTAGTAGTCTTAGAAAAAAGAGCATTGTATAAAAGTTATACTTTAGAATAATAGATCCACCTAAAAACATCTATGTATGAAGAAGTGTCATTCACAGCAAATTTTAAAAAATCTTGGTTATGGAGTTTGTCATGTTTACAGCTAATGCAATATATTCGTTTTTAAAAATTTCTTTCAGTTGTTATGGAGGACTTGGACGATCCTGTCTCAGTAAGTGAAGTGCTCTGTTTATAAAATTATAAAGTATTGCTTTTCTTAATATTACTGGTAATATTCTGCAGCATGAATTCAGCTAATCACAGAACTATTTTCTCTTCATAACAGGCAAAATATTCTCCTGCAATACACAAAGACCTATTCAAAAACCAAAGCTCTCTTTAATCTCTCACAGCCAGCATTAGGCTCATGTTGACTTTTTCATAGCAACAGATTTTTCTCCCAGTTTGAAGGAGATAAACATATCATTTTCTATCAATTTGTAAGAACTATTCTTTTTAAAAAAGCTGATCATGAGGAACTAGAATATGAGATATATGTATACATACAAATTGAAAAAAATAAAATAAATGTGCACTATCTGTGTCCTATCAGGAATTCTTTGATATAATGCTCAACTCAGTGAAAATTGTGAGGGTTTTGGCAAGCCTAAAAGATTCCCACATGTATTGTGTAGCAAAAGTTTCAAGACTTATTGCTCATGATAACCATGAGCAATAATGTGGCAGCAGACACTTCCCTGAATGCTTCAACCCACCTACTTTTAAAAAAAATCATGTAAAAAGCATTTCACAGGAAGGTGACATGCAGTAAAGCAAGTTTCCAAGAATGTCTGAGTATGCTGTAAAATAGGAAAAATATTAAGTATGTTATTTCTATGCTGACTTCTAATTTACTCTTAATCTCTCTAGTCTAGCCTAGCAAATCTTCATTTTATAGCTTTTACCATATTTTCAATAACAAGTATAATCAAGGGAAGAAATGCGAGTAATTTCCCCCCACAATCCTACATAGAAGTGTATCTGCCAGGTAGGGTAGTTAAAAAATAATAAAGATGGCCACAGCTATCTTTTAGGATGAGGCTTGAACTGCATAATTGTGATTGCCATCTTCATTTTTTGACCATGTCTCCCTGCGGATACCCCTGCTTACATGGAAGCTATGCTCTCTGAATCCAGCTAGCTCTGCTTCTATGATAAATCCCTATTAAAACTATAAACATAGACTTGAATTCTTGTTTCAGGATCAGGTGTTCCTGCATTGAATATGCCTAATCTGCATAAATGCTGTCACTGATATTTTCCAGAATAGCCGACATGTGGAAACCTGAGAATTCATGAATAAACATAGGAATCTTAATGTTTGGTTACCTTGTTTACGTTTTAAACAGGTGTTTCCTCCTTGCTAAAAATTTCTTGTTCATTTATTCTATGGTTTCTTTACAGTGGCGGCTTGCCTTCTGCTCCAGATATCTGACACCATAACCCCGCAGCAGGCAATAGACTGCGTGAGGGAATTGAGAGGTTCAGGTGCAATACAAACGTTAAAGGTTAGACAGGAAATAGAGCTTAAAAGATGCTTCGTTTATTTGTTTATTTCTGTACCTCCATATTTCCTTAAACTTCATAGGATACTCGACTGTAGACATTTTGTTTGGTACTAAAAGTCTTTTCTGGTTTAAATACACCCTTTTTGACCTCAGGCCATAGACCACATCCATGGCTGCTACTGGATTGATTACTGATTCATTCTGTTTGGCGCTTGCACACCCATCCTTAGTGCACCCCTGGGCTGAACTAGCTTTATACCAGTTAATTGGCAGCGCTCAATATTTGTTGGTTTTTCCAGGCTCTGCCAGTCTCGCCTCACCACGTGTCGCGTTGCCCCGCATTGGTCAGGTCCAGCATCAGCTTCCGCTCTCTTGCACATATCAACACAGCTAGGTATTTCCCACAAAGTGGTACATTGAAACATTTATACTTTGCCCTGCATTCATTTTTCCTGCACATAGTCCTGCCCTTATTGTTTAACAAATTGTGTAAATTACATTGCTTCTGACTCATTAGGCTGCTTTTAAGCTAAATACGTAACCATAAATTGTTTAGCTTTCCTTATTTTGTATAGCTGGGCTTGCAGAACACAAGTTCCTCCATGCTGAAATGGACTGAGTAATTTATAAATCAGCAGGTAATGGGAATCGGAGCATCATCTTAATAGTGCCACCTCTTCTGGGGAACTGCTTGCCCTACATATAAGAACCATATCCTCCTTACTGAGTATTGATAAAGAACTGGAAAAGAACCTTTGGGGGGGGAATGTGTTTTCTTTCTTAATTTATGTGCTGATTAGGACTATTATATCTTATTTGTCACTCTTTTGATGTATCTGTTTCTATTGTCATATAATATAGAATTATATTTTTATTTACATCCTAAAGACTTTACTGGGAGCCATTTTGGAGTAGAGCAATATAGAGATACTACTAATAAACAAAAATTAATAATATAGTGTTTCGGTACAGCAGGTTACAGTAAAGGTAGTCTTCAAGTTGCAACTGGTCACTTAGCAATTGTCTAAATTTACAATGGACCTCCCCAGGGCTACTTATGACCCGGATTTGAAGTTCCAACAGCTGCCCCTACAATCACGATACATTTTGGTTGCTCAGTAACTGGTCTGCATTTATGGCCATTTACCACATTTGCTTAACGATCACCATAAAATTGGGCATTCACATGATGACCCACCTAATGACCGGCACTACTTAGGACTATAATTGCAGGCTCAATAACAGCTGTAAGTCAAGGACTACCTATGACACAACTATGTTCTATGAAACTAGTTTGTACTTATTTGCTGGGCCTCCTTGCTTTACTCTAAATGGGGCATGTTAGAATTAAGTACTGTGAAGTATTTTTTTCCTCAGAGCCAGAGAATTTTCTATTGAAGATTGCCGAAATCAAGGATTTTTCAGGGGAGGTAGGGAGAATCCAGGGGCTAACCTCTGCAGCCAGTTCAGCTGTTATTGGAAAATATTATAGAAACCTGTCCTCTAGAACAAATACTTTCAAAGGAGAGGAGAGTCTGTCTGGTAGAGAGTTGGAAAAATAGGAATCAATTCTATGTTCCTTTTCTGTGGCTCTCCACTCATTTCAACCCATATCATTAGAAAAAATTAAGTCATCCTAATGTTGAAGTCCAACCATTCTTTTTTTTTTTACAGCAGTACAACTTCCTTTATGATTTCCCAGAGACCTTGGCTACCTATTTGGCAACAGAAAGTAAGCGACCAAGATCAGTATGCCAATAAAACACCCAGAGTTTAGTTACTACTTGAAACTGTATGTTACATTGTTTTTATTGTACCCATAGTGGAAAATAATTTTATTGACTGCCTGCCAGTTATCTTCTTGACAAGTGATATGTGACTAACTACATAGCACAAATCCCTGAATAAAGTTCCATCTGCGGATTGTATTTTGACAGCAAATTATAACATGTAGCAGAACGCATAATAAATATTTTTAATCTCTCTTTTACTTTATGCCTTTTCCAATTCCTGTTTAGTTTTCTCTGCTGTGATAGAGGCTTTTTGTTGTACTCCTTTACACAGTTTATGGGAAAGTCTATATAAGACAATCACATTCTTTAATTTATATTACAGCAATGTCACTTTTGGTGGCATATATTGTAAGACACTAGCAATAGAAATACTGTGAGTTGTGTTTCATATGTGTTCACTTTTCAATTGTGTGTTCCTGAACACATGCCTATGGGAAACCAGATGTTTATTCACAAGTAGAAATGTTCATGAGCTTGCCTGTTCCCTGAATAAGCAATTCATAATCTCCCTTAAAGCAGAATAACTTGCATTTAAGTTGTCCCAATGTATCATCTGGAAGATCATTCTATCATTACTACAACTACAGTACCAGTCGACCATAATGTTTTCAGTACTAGCAGTCCAACCTGCTACTTAAAACAGGAAATGGCAAAAAAATCTATATCATACACATAACCTACAAGGAGCATATTGTTATATTGCTCTTTGCATAAAGAAAAATGTAGGACAAAAAGACTTGCCTCTTGTTTGGCAGAAATTTGAAACAGAAATTTTTTTTATAAGATTGAAGTAGGTCTGCACCTTGAGGCAATACGGCTGTCCACCTACAATATTCATTAAATCTATATCCCATCACAATCTAGTGTCTCTTGGCAATTTACATGGTATAGCAAAAAAATTAATTACAATATCCATGTCATGTTAAACATCCATGTGTGGTTAGAATGTAATAAATAAAAAACCCTCCAAATAAAAGAAAGTTCTAATAAAAAATAAACAATGCTGCAGTGCATAAACTTGGAAGGAAGCTCTCCAAAATAATGTTAACATTTTTAGTCAACAAGGAGGCAATTAGCCTAATTTCTGTTGGAAGGCTATTCCAAAACACATACCACCATGAAGAAGTAGTTCTTTCTAGCTTGACCCTTCTTCACAGTTCAGGAACTAGAGATTGTAATTTATGTCTGGAAGGACCACTGGGTCAGGCCATTCTGGTTGGAGCACACAATCCTCTAGATCAGACATGTCAAACACAAGGCCTGGGGGCCGGATGCGGCCCGCAAAGTGGTTTCATGTGGCCCGCGAAGCCATCCTGGAAATAGTGAGGGAAAGGCCCCCGCTGCCTTGGCCCTGGCCCAGGTTGGCCGGGAGCCAATGTACAATTTTGTGATGGCCATCTATGCTGAAATGCATTCAGTCTTAGCTCCACAAGGCCGTCTAGAAACACCGAGGAACCAGCCCCTGCTGCGTCCCCCCCCCCGGGTGCATGCTGGGGAGGTGTCACTCTTTGTGAGGAATGAAGAAATGGACCATGCCTTGGCGCTTGCCCCGGTCCCACCCCCTTCTGCCAGAGACCCTCAGATCTGTCCCACTCCTACCCAGGCCCCCACAGGCACCCTTGAGGCAAACGATGTAGAGCTGGCCATGCTCACCCAGTAGGCTGCACCCACCCTGGCCACACACACCCGGGCCCCCCGAGGGCAACCGCAATGCTGATGCGGCTCTTAATGAAACTGAGTTTGACACCCCTGCTCTAGATACCAAGTGAAAAATGGCTTTATAGGTCAACCGCCACCTTTAGCATCCTAAATTGTAACCCACAGTGCAAGTATGTTATAGCACAGTAATATTAATATACAATAAGATTATTTGCTCCTAAGCCCAAGAACAGGTGAGTGAGCCACTGCCTTCTAAATCAGCTGCCATTTCTAGGTGGTCTTTAAAGGCAGCCCAGGTAAAGTTTATTACATTAGTCTAATCAGGTGATGAGAGTATGATACTGTATATACTTGAGACCTTTGCAACAGATGAAGTTATAATTACATATCAGTCAAAGCTGGGAAAGGGGACTCCAGCCAGTTTCCACCTGCAGTTAAAGCAGAGGCCACGAGTCCAGAAGGACCCCCATATTGTGAACTTGTTCCTTCATAGATAGTGCCTGCCTATGTAGAGATATTGCTATTGAGAGATGTAAAAACAGTAGCTTCATCTTTGTTCTATTTCAACCTGTTATTTTTCATACAGGTGCCAGGATACATAATTGAAGCATCTTTCAAACTATTTAACATTTAACCTGAAGTAGCAATACAAAGTTACAGCTTGCTGTTGCCACATCCCAAACTATCAGATGACTTCTCCCAGTGGTTCTATATAGCTTTTGAAAAGCATGGGAGAGGCATCCAAACCCTGTAGCATTACACATATTGGGGTCATTGGACCAACTTTTCACACACACACACACACACACACCATCACAGATTGAAACTGTGATGAACCATTGCAAAACAATCAGTCCCCATAAATGAATAATCTCTGCCCATAAATGGTCCAATAAGATACATCAATCAATAATATGGAAGGCTAAGAGACCTAACAGGTCTAGGTAGGTGCACTACTCAACCCAGATCCTGACATAAGTCATCCAAAAGAGCATTCAAAGCCATCTCTTTCCTATACCAGGGCTTTATCCCTGACTGAAAAGGATCTAAATAATCCACTTCAGATGTTTTGAAGTCGGTCCACTATCAGTATCTCAACCTTCATCCAAAGTGAAAATTGAATACCAAATAATTGGATCCGTGATGGCCATTTCGGAAGGGAGCACACCATAGCTTCCTTCCAGATTGGTAACCTGCTCTCTACAAAGAAGCAGACTCAAGAGGTTACCTCTCTACCTGCCCCCTTTAATTGCCAGGATACTAGGCACAGAACCACCCAGGCAACACCCTCTCCACCCCATTCAGGGGTCAAAAGGATTCCTACATAATAGGCCAGGGCCCTAATTACCACCAAAGACTATTGCCCAAATTGAACCACTTTATCAGCAAAACCTGTTGCAGTGATCAAATGGGAAACTTCTATATTGATCTCTCCCAATAGAGACTTGGTCATCAGGGATGCTGATGAAAGCTCACTGACAAAGTTAGGGAAAAAATTGGTATGATTTGCTTGACTTATTGCCATGATACATTCTTTTGCACATGCTTACATTCCCACAGAAATTATGTAACTGCAAAAAGCATTAGCACATGTGATTGGTTGGCCCACTGAGGTGTAGAGTATGTTGTACATACTCTTGTTCTCCAATGTTGAGATTCGGGATGCCTTTACTCATGCAGTGAATATCTCTGTCTTTGAAAACACACTGAATGTTCCAGAGTCAATAGATAAAGAGCATGCACAGAATATTAATAAGTACGTATAAATTCAACAAACCATTATCTTATTTTTCCAACAATCATTTTACGCTTGTTTTGGTTTGGCTGATGTACTCTGTGTATATTGCTACAAAGACATAATTGAATTTGGTGGTTTGATCTGTTTGCTATTCTGTCCATTTACCATTTCAAATATAAAATGAGCTATTTGGGTAAGCAAGAGAATATGCAGGACTCACAATTACTCTTTCATTCTGTGGCTATGAATGCTGAGAATACAAATGTAATTTACATTTAGGATGTAAATGATGGCTGTCAGGCAGGGAAGAATTTTCTATGCTCTCCAGAACAGGACTCCTTTCTTCAAGATGTTCCTGCTCACCGCTAACTGTATTACTAATAAATGGCAGGTTTCATATATAACAAAAAGTGAAAGACAAAGCCATCTAGCAAGAAAATATACTTTAAAAGGGGCAGAGAAAATGGAATAGTAATAGAATTTATCTATTACAAATGGCCTTTTTTTTATAGAGTAAGCTCAGGAAAGTATACATTTTTCCCCATCTGCAAAGGGGATCTGCCATTTTTACAACTTCATATTTAGTAAACTGACAAACTGATGTATAGGAACAAACACATTCATTGCTTAAAAAAATATTAAGCAGATTTTTTGGGTGAAGAGATGAAATAGGCAAGAGGCCTTATCGAGCACATGGCTCATTATGCATTCTGTAATACAAGTTCCAATACCAAGGGTCATAATATACATGACAATCCATTATTTTTATTCTTAAAATGCTATAGGTCTCCCAAATAGGCAGCACAATAGTGCAGCTAGCATTCAAATTCATGTAAAAATTCAGTACTACTATAAAAGAGAAAATATCAAAAACATTCTTTTCCATGTGAACTATCTCCCATATTTAAAAGAGTGATGTGGATAATTTCAGAGGTTTTCCACAGCAACTTGCATATCTAAAAACTGCTGCATCGTATGAACATATTTTTGACATCAAGTACTAGCATAAATACTCTGATGTTGAAGGTAGTGACAGCATACCAAGAAATGTGCATATCTCTCATAACAGAATCTGGACATACCATTTTGGCAAACTCAACTCATTTTAAAGAAGTCAGCTTCACAACTTTTCAAAATTGTCAGAAATGATTTTCATAGACTTTCTAATTAAAGTTCTCCATATTCACTACTTCTTCACCTATTTTTGAGGACCTAAATGAAATAAAGGTCTCTTATTTGCACCTAAAAGAGATCTTGTAATCTAGTAGCTCCCCTGTTCTCAAACTGCAAAGGGAAGTCCATCATGAATAGATTAAAAAGCTTTTCAACAGGGTGAATAAAATTCAGTCTAGTTTAATATTTTTCTCCCGAGATTATCCATTTTCCAAAGTGCTTTAAATTGGAAAGTACACAATCTAGCAATTTTTCAGAATGAAAACTTAAATAACTTGTTCCAAAGACCGTGCTTTTGCTTACAAATAGAGTTTTCTTTTAGGACCACAGCAAAGTTTACCAATATAAAACTCCCAGAAATCACCAGGTGTTAAAACAATCCACTGGAGAATTGTAGCCATGCTTGCTCAACAGCTAACCGCTTAAGTCTGAAATATTAATATTTAAATCTCTCTTGGAGATTTTTATTGTGTGGCATAGCAAATAAATTTGCCAAACCCTATGGCATGTATAACTCAAAATATATGCCACACACTTTCAAAATGATTTTTTATTAAATTGGTTTCAGATATATGGCAGTTGGAGACAATTGCAGAGATTTTTTTTTAAATATGAAATAAAAATGAAAATACTTTTCCTGATATCCATCTAGTCTGGAAAACCAAAGCAAGGAATAGCCAGCTCAATATTTCATGTTAATAATGAGCTCTACTTTTCCTAACATCCATTTAGCCTGGGAAATTAAAGCTCAGTGTTTCATGTTCATAGGAAAATGTTGATCCATGCATATTACTGGAGAAGATCCTAATAGTAAAAATAGAACTACAACTCTTCCTGCAGCTGTATTGATGTATTCATCTACTTGACACACAGAGGTTACCTAAGAGTTTTAGAAATTTTGACTACAATTGACAGGGGGATGAAAGTCCATTATTCAAATAAGCCACTAAAAAGTCCAGTAAACAAAAGGGGGGGAAATACTCTCTTATGCTAAGGGCAGTAATTTTCATATTTTACTGACGATACAACTGATCCTTATGGAGGGCAGGAATAAAACTGTCCAAAAGCCAGAGGCAGTTGTGTTACATTAATTTATATGTAATTCTTGTCACTTTAAATATCCCAATTGAAAAAGTCTGTCCGTGAGTTATTAAAGACTAGATGCTTTTGGACGGAAGAAAACAATAGAAGAGGAAGGCCTTTTCCTTCTACTATTACTATGATCACCAGATTCCATGGCTAAATCTTTATACCAGTTTCTTCTTCAAAGATAATCCTTTGCTTTATGGCTTTTCTGCATGCACTTTGCTGGAATCAAGTCTGCTGTACGTCATTCTTTAGGAGCTCACCAAAACATAAATCATGCTGTTGGAAAGAGAAGAATAAAAATAAAATATATTTCTGTTAAATGTTTGTTCTGTTTCATTGGAGATGGAAAACTAGTAATTAACCTTTAAGCTTCACCGTTTGGCTCACTAGGCTTATGGTCAGACATTTCTACTGGTGTCTCACTTGTACAACAGTATGATAATAATTGCAGTGCAACAATTAAAAACTTCTGCCAAGAAAAGGTGACATGTTTTTCCTCTCCCAAGCTGATACGTTGCAAATAATATTGACAGTTCCCAATTTATGTTTGTGGCCCACATTTAAGCTCCAGTGATTCACCAAAGTTAATTACTAGTTCCCACCATATCATAAATGGTTTATTTGCAGGATTTATTCTTAATAATATAGAAATCAACCAAGCAAGTGTCTTTTATATTAAAGAGGGTGCACATCTCCAGAATGCATTAACACAATTATTCATCATTTAATTCTCTTGATGCTTAATGTTATTCTGATATCAAATCCCAACCTATTATAAAACATTTTAATTGTCTTAATATTTTAAATTACTCTGCAATTTTATTTTCATTTCTGAAAGTGAAAGCAGATTTTGTCTAAAGTAAAGCATCTTCCTCAATAAAGCAATTTAATAAGCATCTTCTATACAAATAATTTGTTCTCTAAAAGTCAGTGGTAAGGCTCTTGTTCCAGGATCAGGAATTCCAAAAGAATCAGGAATTCTATATCCCCGTTACTGCTGAATCAACAATGTGACACACAGTGAGTCGATGATGGTATTATATTTTAAGGTACTGGACTAGAACCAGCTACTCAGATCCATTCTCAACCTATGTTATAGGATTTCTGCTGTGGGGGGAAATGGGAGGAAACAACTAGGTGTGCCACCTTAAGCTGCTGAATTAAAAGCAGGGGTATAAATCAATATGCTGCTGGGCATTCATCAAGGTCCCTTCCCACTTTCATTGTGTCTGTGCTTATTTAGGGAAGCCACCATGCAACAAAACGAAGCTAGTCTCAAACTTAGTATGTATTTACAACAAGATCTCTGTTACTCATGGAACACAGAGCTTCCTTGGAAAATAATGTAGGTGACTGCAACTGATTATATAATGTATATTATGGTATGCAAGTGATTCTTGTCTAGCCTCACCATGGGAACCATTTTATACAATGTCATAACATAGTCTTATAACATTAAATATGCCCAGGGATCAAAAAGATTAGGACTCCCCTGCTTCAAGGAAATGAATATTAAGCGCCTGAGCATTTATAGCATTTTTTAAAGTCACTGCTGAAATTCAGTAAAAGCATCTTTATATTTTTATCTAGTTTTCTTAAACTAATGTTCAACTACTTATCAGAAAGACATTATTTTATTAAAAACAGATGACTTACCCATATAGGTAGTAAAAAAAGGATAGAAGATAAAACGCTAGTTTGCACCACCCTTCCTTCTGACAATATGCTAAAATATCCGCATTCATAATGGTTGTGGGATCATAGAGTCCTGGTCCACTCATTACAGGCCTACTCATATACCTGAAAAGGTGAATTGGTATTTTGAAAAGCCACAGGAAAAATGAGTTTACTTGTCAAGAAACTACACCTATTATCACACTTATAGTGCTTTCCATCCTGTCATTTATTCCACATACTCCAAATTTCTTGATTCAGCATTAATGAAAAAAAAAATGGTTCTTTCAAGTCATTGTTGACTCTTGGTGACAACCTGGACAAGTTCCTGCACTTTTCTTGGCAAGATTTCAGAAATGGTTTGCCATTGCCTGCTTTCTAGGCTGAACTGGCCCAAGGTCACCTATCTGGTTTCATGCCTAAGGTGGGACTAGAACTCATAGTTCCCCAGTTTATACCCTGGTGCCTAAACCACCACACCAAACTGGCTCTCAATGAAATATACACAATTAAAATGGAAACTCTCTGTTCAGTTTATCTCTGCCAACATTCAGTTTCTGACATCAAATTGTATTGGGCAAAGGGCCAACCTCAAACAATAAGACAAGTTTCATGAAACACATGAAATCTGAAATCTAAGTGAAGCATCTTTTATGATCATCCTATGGTCTCTGCAGTTAAGAATGAGAAAGTGGTGATTTCTAGTAGTAGAGATAGTATCTTATAACATATGGCAGAAGGGTAATATCTCTCTGAATGTGCTGACCCAATTCCTCTTTTTTATGTTGCTGAATGGAAGCGTAAACATTACGTTTTGTATCAGTTTCTTTGGGAGTAAAAGCACAAAGCAGCTGTATTAAGTATGAGTAATGATAACAAGATCACTACTGATCTCTGATTATGATATAGCAGAAGAATGCAATACACTGTTATCTTTCTCTTGTTTCCCTTGGGATCTTCCAAAAGTAAGGAATGGAGGGGGGGAGAGAATTTAAGGGACAGGAAAATCCCTGCAGAACAATTCATACAGAATGCAATACATGAAAAAACAAAAATGAAAGCCACAAGTAAAGTTTTACCAAACTATGTTCAAAATTACCTCCAAATGTGGTAAGCCAGTAATGGCATATTAAGACTCAGTGTAAGCCATTCTGTTGCACACAAAAACATGACACAGAAGAATGCATGGATGAGATACTCTGGAAGTACAAGCTGCAAAAGAAGACAGGTAGTTAGATCACCCTCTTTTTCAACTTTTGTACACTTGAAATAAGGACATCATTATTTATAGGAACAAGAAGGGAGTGAAGTAAAAGAAGACCATTAGATAAAATAAGCCAGAGGAGAAAATGTCAATCTATTATGTTATAATAACTGACTTATGTTAGAGGAACTGAATAAAATTTGTTAATAATCTCTTACAGAATTTGTGGTATATTAAAATAATAGCACTATCACATATCTTCCAATTTCCAAGTTTTATCCTGGAGATGTTAGATTTACATAATTTCTAACAGGCTCCATATTACATTACAGATGACACTTAGATATCTTTGAAAGCTGCTTATGTATCTCTAATTAATTGCAAGTAGCACCTCAGCTGCCTAAAAGAAAAAGTTTCCATAATGTTACTGTGCTATCTTACCATTAAAATATGTGCAAGTCTGAATTACGTACTTTTTAAAGAAAGATCATTACCCTCTTAGAATATGTAGATATATCTGACATTTTAAAACAGTATAAATTTCATTACTGAGAACAGGGTGGCTAGTTTTTAATCTGGCCTGTCAGAAAATGCTGAAAGCAATCCTCATCTTTTTATGGGAGAAATAAAGACAAGATGGTAGAGGGAGGAACACAAAAAGAGAGAAAATGGGACAAACAGACCTCACACTCATATAATTGGGAGAAGGCAGATAAAGAGAGCAGTTTGGTCTAGTAGTGGTTAAGACACCAGGCTAGAAAGTGGGAGACTGTAAGTTCTAGTCCCGCCTTAGCCACAAAACCCAGCTGTGTGACCTTGGGCTAGTCATGTTATCTTAGCCCAACTCACTTCATTGGGTTGTTGTGGGGAAAACAGGAAGAGGAAAGTGTGTTGGATATGTTTACCACCTTGAGTTATTTGTAAACGTAATAAAGGTGGTATATAAATGCTCTCACTTTGCTATCACCATGCTATCATATTATATAAAATCATAAGACCACACCTAGAATACTGCAACCAATTTTGGTCTCCGCACTATAAAAAAGATGTTGAGACTCCAGAAAAAGTGCAGAGAAGAGCAACAAAGATGATTAGGGGACTGGAGGCTAAAACATATGAAGAACGGTTGCAGGAACTAGGCATGGCTACTCTAATGAGAAGAAGGGCCAGGGAAGACATGATAGCAGTGTTCCAATATTTGAGGGGCTGCCACAGAGAGGTGGGTGTCAACCTATTTTCCAAAGCACCTGAAGGCCAGACAAGGAATAACGGATGGAAACTGATCAAGGAGAGATTCAACCTGGAAATAAGGAAAAATTTCCTGACAGTGAGAACAATCAACAAATGGAACAGACTGCCTTCAGATGTTGGTGCTTCAGGACTGGAGGCTTTGAAGAAGAGACTGGACTGCCACCTATCAGAAATGGTGTAGGGACTCCTGCTTGGGCAAGGGGTTGGACTAGATGACCTACAAGGTCCCTTCCAACTCTGAAATTCTAAATTCTATATAAACAATAAAAAAGATAAAACAATATAAAGAAAGGAAAGGGGAAGAGAAGAGAAGAGAGAAAAAGGTTTCCAGGGAAAGTTTCTATTCAAACCTCTGTAGGAAACGAAATACTCCATTCATTTGAATGGGAAGAACAAATTCTATGCTGCTTGTCTCTATTTTTAGCTTTCACTCACTATTCAAGTAGTGCTCTGTCTGTTGCATACAGACGTTATAGAGCACTGTGCACCTTAATATATGCACATACACAAAGGCAATGGAAAATTTAGGCCCAAAACTGTTGCACAAATCACTATATATGGATAAAATCAGCAGCAATTCAGTGTGAAGACAGGAGCCAATACGTTAGGGGAAAAAAATCTATCTATATTCAATTTTTCCTGGATTTTATGTTCTGAAGAAAACTTATTTACAGTTTATATTTTTTGATATATTCATTTTTTAATCAGTATTTTTTTAATAAACCTAATATAGCGAATTCTGATTCTTTAAGGTCCTGTTATAGGCAGCTATACTGAACAAAACTGTGCAGCTATTCATTTTAACAAAAGCCACTGATGATCTGATGCGCCTTATTTTATCTGAATTTGCAGAAGCAAATTAATCTAGTGTAAAAGAAACACAGACTTTAATCAGTGTACACTCAATACATTCAAGTTGCACTTCTGCTGAACTAGGTTATACTATGCAATGCCTATAGAGACCAAACCTCCCATGGAACCACAAGTCCCCACCTCCTCTAATACTGTATTTTTGGGAATCCCTTATTTAAAAAAAAAAATCAAACAGGACATTGGCATACTATAAAGGAAAGCACCAGCCCTCTAATACCTTGATTTTCAAGGTTACAGAGAGCCTACTGTGCTAAGACATTCTTAGAAAACAGAAACAGCCAGGCCAGTGCTTTGTGTGAAAAACGTTTCCAACTGCCCAGAAACAACAAAAAAAAGGAAAGCAGAAGAACAGAAAACATCTGGGTGGAGAGAGAGTGGCATGGAATAACCTCATTGCTCTGCCTTCTGATAAGGGATGTTCTGTGATTAGCCATTCCATGAATAGGTAAACCAGGTCTATGCCAGATGTGTATGAGACCTCCAGGGCATGTAAGAGTAATAAAAATCAGAAAGTCAATTATTTAAACAATAAATAAATTTAGCAATTCAGTCATAAGGTATCAAAAACTATACTATAATGCTAAGATTCCTGCTAACTTGCTGGAAATTACTTATTTTTATTATTACTTTTCCCTGCGTGTATTCTTAAGATGCTACATTCCCACACAGATTCATTTATGGCACACAGTTAAACAATATTTCAAAATTTGTCTCTGTATTAAACAAAAAAGCCCAGAGAAGCATAACATGCATATGGCAATATCTTTTTCTTAAAAGTCTGATAAGGGGATGCATAGATGTATTGAAAGTCTGTCTCACTCACACAACAAATGAGAGATGAACTGAGTAGGGTAAACTGTTCCATGCACAGCTTCTATCTATGTTACTTCTTCCTTCATTAGAAGTCACTCTACCTCGCAATATTTTTTCTCATTCACCAGATTGCATTTAGCACTAATGCCAGTTCCTGTGGTTCAATTTCAGCAGAACTTCTGGGATATCTGATATAATTTCTAGAGAAATGCTATCTAGTCAATCCACGTCAAAAATATATGAAAAGAAATAGTCTTTCCCAAGCCTTTCAAGTATATTGTAATTTGTTACAGTTTGTCAACAAGCAAAAGAAAAACATTTTAAAGTAAACGTGGGAATAAGACATATGAAGCTGGAAAATGCTGGTCTGGACTAAAATGCTCTAAGGACTAATTACTGGTGTAAATGTGAACAGAGAATGATAGCTATTTTCTAAACAGGTAAATGCAGGAGATTAGAGTAACTTCTTATCAATCATACAGACAACGCAGAATTTGGCTCTGCCTTCTAAAAAGCCCAGGGACTGCAGAGTATTCAACACTACAATAAAATCTTCCTCAAGTCAATTTTGATTCCTGGTGACTTCATAGATGTGAGCATGCCATTGTCTTGGCAACAATACAGAAATGGTTGCCACTCGCTTTTGGAATGCTCTGCCAACTTCCCAGGTTCAGACTATAGTCCTGGTTCTCTTAGAGATCAATCCAAATCTATCTTAACTTCCAGGTCCACACAAGGTCAGACAACTACTGCCACCTATTAGGACTACTTTAAACATTTTGGAAATGGGCACATAACTCACTAACTACAGTTGTACTTGTCACAACATGGAAAAACAAAATTAGTGGTATTAAACATACCCATGGCAGAAGCTGCAAAAAAGCATCCCTAAGATCAAGGTGGGTAATAAGGGAAAGGTACTATTTTTATTATTACACTACAGACACTATTCCCGAGCTATCCCCATGCAAATAATCCACTGTAAATCAAGAAGCCAGAATACTCCTTCTCCCTAATTCTAAGATGAATTCCCTTAAATGTGTATCAGCTCTAATCAGGATTCTAACTTAACCATCATTCATGATTTGAATTAAATTGGCAAATTCTGATTAAGGAAAAAATATGGCATTTCTTCCATTTAAATAAACATGAAGTTATTGAATTGTTGATTTCACATCCTGTCAGTAACTGATTTCTTGTAGAAGAATTTAAGCATGTAACAGTTTTCCCCATCTCTTATTAAGCAAGTGCAAAATTCAAAGAATTATTTCAATCCTTGGAACAGACAAAAGACAAGCAAATAACAGGCACATGGACCAAAACAAAAGTTAACATAGGTCATAGAAATGATCCTAATAAATGGAAAGCAAAGAGACTGTGGGATTAAGACATTAAACTAAAAAGCAGTACACACCTTGAATGCAATTTTGACTCTTTTAATCTTTTTAACCTTTTCAACTGTCTTTGTGCCGAAAACGTAAAAAGCAGATTGAAAGAATGTTAGTGTGACCACTGACAAGTTCACCAGCAGATAAATAAGTCAGAATTTCAAGAATGGGGACTGAGGGTAAGTGTGAAAGAGTATAGGGACACAATTCTACCTAGAAATCTTAAATCTATTAGATACTGTAGTATCAAATATAATGCATGTTAAATGGTATGTATGTTAAATCATCATACATTTACCAAAAAAACAAAACTAACTAGGAATTCATGAAGAAAGTTGTCTCATATAAACTTACAGGATTTAGTGTATTACACTGGTCTATGGGATTCTTGTAGTCAGTCTTCAGCTCATCAAAAGCTATAATCTAAAATAAAATTAAAATGGTTAAGTATAAGAACTCTTACTGTTCTAAAGTCCAGCATTTAGAACAGCCCAACTTCTAAATGCAAATTCTGAGGGAATCTCCTATGGAACTGACTCATCCAGTTAGTTCCAAGTAATAATAAATAACTAAGCTCTTCAAAGCACACTTTCAAGAATTCACTCACACCCCTTACACAGTAGCAGCACCCAAGCCTCCCACTGAGCCTTGAATATTCAGATTGTATGAATTGGAATTGGATTCTGATTGAGCAAGTCACGGTGAGCTGATTGAGGCTTTATCTCGTCCTATTATCTGTGTGGTGTTTCACTCTGAAGTAGACAGAATCTTTAGTTCTAGTAACCCAAAAACCTGATTATCAAATCTGTGCACCTCCAGAATGATTAAAATTTCTTGGGAGATGGTGAGTGTTGCTATCTTCCCTGAAAAAGATGGCAATACACCATCTCTTATAAAAGCCATTGTTGGACATAACGGTTTTGAACACCTTTTATCTAACCTCCAACCTTCTCTTTCTCAGGGAAGTTGTTGAGAAAGTGGTCAGGTTGCAGTTTCAGAGACCCCCAGATAAAATGGATTGTCTGGATTCTTTCTAATGTGGTTTCAAGCTGAGACAGCACTGACTGAGCTTGTGGAGGCAGGACAGAGATTGTGTGAACTTGAAACTTGAATCTCTCAATGACTTTTAATATAATCAATCATCATATCCATCTGGAGTGGCTAGGGGTATTAGGAAACAGTGTTATAGTGGCTCTCTTTTCTCTCTGGATGGTTCCACTTGGTGCCGGTGGGCGATCCTTTGACCCCTTATCTGTGGAGATTTCAGAGTTCAATCCTTCCCCTTTTCCTGTATGATATCTCCATGAAACTATTGGGTGTGATCATCTGCCAATATAGAATTTAATACCATCAATACAGTGAAGATACTCAGTTGTATATACTGATCCAAGCCAACCAAGCAATGTCATCAAAATGATGTCCCAGTGCCTTGATGCTGTGAAGATCTGGATGAGGAACAGGTTTAAGGTCAACTATGGCAAAATGGAATGGCAATGGGTTTTTAGCTCTTGCAGTATCAGGGATTTTCCATCTTTAGTTCTGGATAGGGTTACACCTCTCCAGACAGAACTGGTGCACAATTTGGGAATCCTCCTGGATCCTCAGCTCCTGCTCAAGGAGATGGCAGGTATAACCAGGAGGGCCTTCACCCATTTGTCCACTGCATCAATTGCACCCTTACCTTGATCAAGATTTCCTTTTCACAGTCACTTCTAACTTAATCACCTCACATTTGACTACTGCAACGTACTCTACATGGGACTGCCCTTCACCACTCAGCAGCTGCAACTGGTCTAGAATGCAACTGCATTGACAGACATGGACACAACATGGCACACCCATGGGACACCTCTCCTACATGAGCTGTGCTCATTACTGATACCCTTCTATGTGCAATTCAAACTATAGTCCACCTTGTATGCTTCTGCAGAGAGGGTATGCTCCAGGTCACATCAGTGAAAAAAAAATCATTTAATGGGTCCCAGGAAATGTGCCTACCCTGGTGTCACACCTATCCTCTGGAGTATCTATCCAGAGGTTAGGTTGCCCCAACCAGGAGCTTTAAAGATTGTCTCTTTCTCCAAAGCCTGGGTAAGATATGCTTCTCTTTGACCGTATTATCAAGACTTGTTCTTTTTGGTTTGGGGATATTTTTTTACTTTTATCAGTTGATGCCATCTTACTGGGAATTTTTATTGGTTATTTTTATTGTATGCTATTTAGACTATAAAATAAGTTTGGTTTTACTTATTTATGTAATTTCAGGATAAAGGAAAAAAAGAATACACTGTAGATTCTTCAATCAGATAATCCAATTAAAATGTTCATGCTATCTATTTTATAGCATTGGTCAATGGTGAGGCCAATTTGTCTTCACAGTCTTTCAGACTGTCACCTGCAGTCTTCTCCAGGGCACATTTTGGTGTCAGACAGGATTCTCCAAGGGAAGGATGTTTATCTTAGCACATACATAAAGGGGATTCCCCCTGGCCTCTACCCCTCTCCAGAGAAAAAGTGTTTGTTTAAAAAAAAATCTAATAGAGAAGCAACATATGGAGGCTAAGAAGAGGAGCTAAGAAACACTGCTCCGGAGACTCTGATTAAAAACTGTAATCTATTAAAATCTGAAAAATCCAAGGAAGCAACCAGGAAATGTTTGCTACATCAATCAGTTAATCTCTAAAAGTTAGGTAACAGGTGTGAGCTAGAAATATTGTATCAGATTAGTATTATTTTGGAATGTGTTTTAAACTTTATAGTCTCTGATAGGGCAGTTTCCCTGTGCAATCTCAGTGATTGTGTATCCTAGTTAACAGACCAAAACATCTCATAGTCTGGCTGTATATTTTTTCCTATTGGAGACTCTCTTGAGATGCTCCCTATGATTTTCACAACTCTCTATTTTTATCTCCACTGATTGTTTTGTGCATTTTATTTAAAATCAGAATTTTTATTTTTTAAATGTTAACTTTATTTAAGCCACTTAAAATCACCTTTGGTGAGATAGATGGCATACAAGTTTGATAAATAAATGAAATAAATAATAAATTTTGTTTATACCTTGTGAGGGCTAATTTTCCTACCCATGTGTCTCCTGTTATAGGCTCATAAGATGATACTATAGATTCTCCCCCCCCCCTCTTACTTGCCATTAAAACACACAAGTTGTCAGATCTCTCTCTCATACATCAAGGTTGTGGAGAGATCAGTAGATAAAGACATCTCCTGAAAAATGTGATGTTATAGCAGTAATTACATAGTAGCTACCCCAAGGCAAGAAGGTGGGGCCACACTGTGTAGTCTTAGAGTGCTTGTAGGAGAAAAACCTTTCACCTATACACTCAGCTAGAAAGCCTTAATACATGTTCACACAAAAGCACCCAGATACATTCTGTCTCGATACTATTACGATAGCATATTAGAATTCTGTACAGCATAATGTACCCACCCACTCCCCTCATAAATAAGTCTGCCCCATCTAATCTAATCTCATATCTTTCAAGATTCTCCACTCCTACAATTCTAGTCCCTTTTATTTCACAATAAGCTTTAACAGTCCCTGGCCAAAAGCCATGACTTCTCTTACCCCACAAGTTATCGCTCTTTTCATATTTTCCTCTTTATTTTATACATCAGTCCAATTTCAGTTCTTCAAACAAATCCTCAAAAAAGGATATACCAAGCTAAAACCCAACCTGAGTTCAATTTCTTGCTTCCTATAAATACCACTGTGAATTAGCAGTTCTCCTGTTGTGATCCTTGGCAGTTGGCATCAGAATATAATGGCTTGGTTATTGGTGGCAATATATAGAAAGCATGCCAGGAGCCACCAGGAGTGTGCAGAATAGCAGTGAGCTACTTCAGTGGGATAGTTCAATCTTGTCGTCATTCCACTTTGATAAAACATTGAGATGGGATTGAGCCAACTCAACTGATCATTTCATTTTACAAAAGCGGTTGGCATACACACATGGGAATCCCTTTGGCTGATCAAACAGAATTGAGGTAGCTGCCTATTTGATACTGTGGTTTGTAGGGATGATTGTGGCTCCTCACAGCAAAGCATCTTTTAAAAGCTGTGCACAGCACTCACGTGCTTGATAGCTTGATCCTTCTGAATATCTCTTGAAGACATCCAAACAGGACTGATCACTATACAGGTAGTCCTCAACTTACAACAGTTCATTTAGTGAGCATTCAAAGTTACAACAGCACTGAAAAAAGTGATTTATGACCGTTTTTCACAATTATAATCTTTGCAGCATCCCCATGATCATGTGATCAAAATTCAGATGCTTGCCAACAGGTTCATACTTATGATCGTTGCAGCATCCCAAGGTCATGTGATCACTTTTTGCAATCTTCTGACAAGCAAAGTCAATGGGGGAAGCCAGATTCACTTAACAACCGTGTTACTAACTTATCAACTGCAGTGATTCACTTAACAACTGTAATAAGAAAGGTCATAAAATGGGGCAAATTCACTTAACAAATGTCTCACTTAGGAACAGAAATTTTGGGCTCAATTGTGGTCATAAGTTGAGGACTACCTGTATCCTGTATTATGAAATTCCACAAATTAATTATGGGCTCGTGAAGTAATTTATTTTTTAGTTTTAACTGTCCGGTTTTTAATATTTTCTATATATGGCATCTTTTTAAAGTTTAACCACACTTCAAATATCCCACAAACAAAAACATGAACAATAAGGCCAATCTTTAAATACTCTTTTAACTTCCCTGAGGTGTTAAAAACACCAAAAAAGAAACATTTTTCCCTTATTCACTTTCACCAGGCTCTATATACAATCTTTCTAACCAGCTTCCTTCCTTTCTCCTTTTGTTAACTTGAGCTTCGGGACGCACCAATACCTTTCTGCGCTTTTTTCCAGTTTTACAAAAGGATGCAGAGATGACACTACTGTACACGCAATACTTAAACGAGGTCACGCCTTATAATTGCAGAAAACAATGAGGGCGCCCTTTTTCATGCCCGCTGCGCCCAGTGGGCCTCGTTCACACGTTCCCCAAACCCTCCTGGCCTCTCCTGCCTGCTCCGGTATAGCCAGGAGAGATTGCCCAGTACACATCTGGGGGCTCGCACTGCCTTGCTTGACTCTTCTCTGTCGTGGCGCCACAACTGCCAGTTTTTAATGCCCGCCCCTCCAGCCTTTGCGGCCACTTCGGGGTTCAACCCTCCAGAAGAATTGAGCGACCCAAGTGAGCGGGAACTTCCTTCGCTTCCCCTTCAACCTCCGGCAGCCCCGCCTTGTCCACCGCCTTCAACCCCTTCTTAATCTCTTTCCCGTTTAGGTCCACCGCCCCAGATTTCCAGGGAATACCAGGACGCTCTCCTGCACTCACATGCCATATAGCGAAGAAGATAAGCGCAGCAGTGAGGAGCAGCGCCAACATATAGCAGAAAGCAGCGAACGTGAACGCCATGGCGGCGGCGGCGGCAGCGATTGACACTAAGGAAGGCCGGCCCGACGGCGAGGCGCACGGAAGTTTCTGGGCCGGATCATTCAGGGTGGCCGCAGAGGCCCCGGAGGGGGGGAGCGATAGACGCTTTCGACGTCACTGCGCAAGCGCAGAGAGGAGGGAAGCCGCCCGCCGCCGCCGCCGCCTTTACAGACCTGAGTTGCGCGCCGCAGCATCTACTTCTGGACGGCGGTGGAACTGCAACGTGGCTCCCTCCCGATGGCGGGATGTTTGCTATTCGCATCCCCGGGAAATGAGTTTCATGCGTGACATCAATAACACGGAGGTGGCGTCCCACGCTCTGTTTCCGCTTCTTTCGAGGAATAGCGACGGAGGAGGAGGATGCGTCGAAAGGAGAGCATTATTTGCCGGGGGTTCTCCCGGGTGAACGTGGGAACTACATGGACTTTTTCACCGAGGAGAGTGTCACGTCTGTACAGATGGGCGTGTACAAGCTGCAGATCCCACCGTTAGGAAGCAGAATAGAATAGAATAGAATAGAATAGAATAACAGAGTTGGAAGGGACCTTTGAGGTCTTCTAGTCCAACTCTCTGCTTAGGCAGGGAACTCTATCCATTTCAGACAAATTGTTGTCCAATCTTTTCTTTAAAACTTCCATTGTTGGAGCATTCACAACTTCTGGAGGCAGGTTGTTCCACTGATTAATTGTTCTAACTGTCAGGAAATTTCTCCTTAGTTCTAGGCTGCTTTGGAGAATAGCTTGACTCCTTCTTCTTTGTGGCAACCCCTGAGATATTGGAACACTGCTATCATGTCTTCCTTTCATTAAACTGGACATACCCAATTCCAGCAACCATTCCTTATATGTTTTAGCCTCCAGGCTCGATTATTTTTGTTCTTCTCTGCACTGTTTCTAGAATCTCAACATCTTTTTTACATCACGGTGACCAAAACTGGATGCAGTATTCCAAGTGTGGTCTTACCAAGGCATTATAAAGTGGTATTAACACTTCACATGATCTTGATTCTATCCCTCTGTTAATGCAGCCTAGCACTGTGTTGGCTTTTTTGGCAGCTGCAGCACACTGCTGGCTCATATTTAAGTGGTTATCCACTAGGACTCTGAGATCCCTCTCACAGTTACTACTATTGAGCGAGGTACCACCTATATTTTACCTGTGCATTTGGTTTTTCTTGCCTAAATATAGAACCTTACTTTTTTCACCATTGAATTTCATTTTGTTAGATAGTGCTCAATGTTCATGTCTATCAAGATCCTTCTATATCTTGAGCCTACTAGCTCAATTTGGAATCGTTTTTCCAACCCCAGGAAAAGGACTTGTCATGTATTTGCCCAGATTCCTCAATATGTTTTATTAGGAATGAGTTTATACCCCTCCTGGATGGGTGATTACTAAAGATTGCTCTTTGGGGTTTGATTACATTATAAATCCAGCTGTATTTAAAAATATAAGATTAATTATATCATTGACATTTATGAGTACATGAAATAGGTGCATTACTTTCTTGAAAGCATGTACTTTTTTCGGAATTCAGAATTTTTCTGGACAATTCATTTTATTTTTACTTTTCATTGTTACTTTCCCCCAGTTTGATGTTTGGGTGTGGGGTGAACTCCCATAACCCCACATTTTGGGTAGGAAAGGTGAGACCCTTTTGCTGTGAATGATCTCCATTTTTTTTTAATTTGGCGTTTTCTTACCTAACCAGCATGTCATAATACTGCAAAGACTGGGGAAAACTTCACTTCACTTTGTGCCGATCTGTTTCACTTCCCCCCAACTCATCCCACTTTAAATCCTATATCATTTAGCTGTTCCACGCATCTGATGAAATGAGCTGCAGCTTATGAAAGGTCATGCTTGTGAATAGTTTTTATTAATTGGAAAGGGTGATTTGGTGCTATCGTAGACTAACAGGGCTCTTCTACAATTTTGACATTGGAGGACCTTGGAGTGGGTGTATGCCAGCAATTTTCCACACACAAGGAACAGGAATTGAAGTAGGATTTGTCCATCAGGCACTTGCCACAAATGCAACTTTTTGAGAGTAAAGAGATTACCTTCTGGAAAGTTGATCTGTTGTTTTTTTCTGAATCACTATCAATTATTTTGATTTGGTATAGCAAATCTGAAGCTCAGTGGGGAAAAAAGATGGTTTGCATGCATGTAAAAGCATTTTTTTAATTACTTAAAATATTTTAGAGGTGATCTCCCAGATTTCCTATTTATGGTGTTGTTCACTCAAGTGTTCCAAGGAAGATCATAAAAGATCCATTTGGTTTCTTTGGACTTATCTGCTCTTTTTTAGTTTTGTTGATAACTACATCCAGTGACCAATAATTTCACGATGTGGATAATGACTGCAAATAATAAGGTACTGGATTTCTACAAGATTTCTTAAGATGAAGCCCTCAAAGTTGCACAGAATATTTTACTCAGGTGAACAACACAACTCTGAAATACAAGCTTGTTTTATTTTCTAGATCTTTCACATTGTGGAAAAATATGCTGAGCTGAAGTTTTCACAAGGAATATGCCTCTGTATCTCACAAGATTTCTTTCTGGGTTAGTTACAGCGAATGTAGATCTCCAGTTACATCACTGTGTGATGCTCCGATTTTCCTAAACCTGATATTCACATCCGTGAATTCCCAGCATATGTCAACCACCTGTAAGTCGAAACATTCTGTATCGCCCCTAGATCAGAATAACAGACGAGTCTGATTTGTCTCAGAACTTCTTTAAATGCCCGTTCTCAATGCCTGCAACTTGAATAACATTTTCTCCTGAGCATGTGCAAATGAGCCTGATATACAACCAGGACTATTGCAAGTAAAAAAGCAAGTCTGGTCAGACAGATTAGTTCTGCATAGACTTGAACGTCTGTCTTTTTCTTTTACAATTACTTCCTTCAATGGTTTGGATAGGAGAAAATGGCAATTTGTATTCAATACAAGCAGAGGCTAACTTCCTTGTTTGTCAGAAGCTAACTGCATACCCAAACTGGGTCAGCATCCCATACTGTTATTTTATCTTAAACAGTCCAATCAATTTGTCAAATGGGAGATCCTGGATAGGAAGAGCTCTTGTTCAAAGGTTATATTGTATATTCTTTTTGCCAGGCTACCTTTTCCCCCCCAGCTTTAAGCTTATTCTATCACATTAAAAATAGAAGACAGAGAGTTTGACAGGTTTTATTAACATTGTATGATCATTGATACCAATACAAGCTCCATGCTTTGCCAAACAAAAAGAAAACGATGATTTTAAAAAAAACATGCAAAATCAACTAAGCAGAACATTAAAAATACCCCAATCATTGCAACACCTGTCAAGCTGGTTAGTTCCACAGAAATGTCAGTGAACAATAAAAGCACATATTGCAGTTTCCTTTCTATAAAATACTGTTGCTCTTATCTCATACAGAATAACTTTTCAGCATTAGAAATGTTTAATTATATTAAGTCAGTACAATATATTATTGTAAAGAGACCAATATTCTCATTAACAATTTGCAGATTTGGGGAAGGGAGTTGAGGAGTGAAGCAAGAGAGTGGTCCTGGGTTCAATCTGCAGCCTTTTTCAGATTGCTTAGAAAAGATTGGTATTCCAGCAATCAATGTACATCGACCTTCTCCAACTTGGCACCCTCCAGATGTATTGGGAATAGAATTCCAAGAGTCTTGGCTAATTTAGAAAAATGAATTATATCTGTTGGAAATTCAAGGACATAGAGTCTAGATACATCAGAAGGATGCCAACTGGGGTAGGTTATTCTACCAGATATTAGCCATAGCAATAGCACTTAAGACTCACATACTTCCCACTTTACAGCACTCTTTAAGTGGTTTACAACATCAGCATATTGTCCTTAACAATCTACCTCAGAAGGATGGAAGGCTGAGTCAATCTTGAACCTGTCAGGATCGAACTCTAGATTGTGGGCAGAGTTAGCAATATACTGAACCAGAACTAATGGCCTACCCCAGCTGGCATCCTCCAGATGTACCCAAACTATATATCCTTGAATTTCTAACAAGTATATACTAGCTAAGATATCTGGAATTGTAGAATTCTATGCCAAAGGCCCAAAAGGAAGGTTGGGTCAAGGGAGTCTGAACTATGGATGCTACAGCTCATACTTTTCAGGTACAACTAGAGGAGACAGCAAGCGAGCTATAATTGGCTTGGTTCACCTTTATCCTCTGTGTTTCAATGATCCTTTCTCAATAGCTTTGCAATTTTGTGCATTTACAATGTGCACACCAAATTACTGCTCCCAAATTAGGTATTAACTTCCCTAAAAGATGTTTCATATAGCACTGATCTGATTTCAACATATCGAATGGTGCACAACTACCAGGAATTTAGCAATCTACCCAGTTTTATTAGTAGATTGATTCTCATTTTTTTAAAAACCCTGCATGGTATGAAAGCCTTTTCATATGTTTCACACAAGAACATAAAACTTCCATCAGTGAGGGGAAAAAAACCATTCTTCCATATACATAACAAGCTATGTCTATTCACTTAGAACAACTTTCCCTAATCTGGTACCACTCAACACATCTGGAAAGGGTCACAGCAGAGAAGAATGAATTAAATCCCACACACTTTCACGGAAGCTGACTAGTGTTGGTTAACAGAAAGCAGGAAAAATTCACAAATGCCAGTTTCACATTTCATCCAGTGAATACTGCGCTATCAATAAAGCATAAAGATATGATGTCTTAAGTTCAAACAAGCTTTTACAGGAAAAAGGGAATACATTCATACAATTGATTCACACGATTGCAACATGTGAATATTAGAAGCACATGTATTATGCGATTCTTCCCTTTTGCTCAGATCTTCCTGTTGTTTATATGCTACAACAAACATATATCATGTATATGTAATATGTGAAAAGGCTTGAGGGGGGAAAAAAGAAATCAAAACTAAGTATTTGGCCTCGTTCTGAAATACTGACAATTCTAATCTATAAAAGATTCAAGAGAAGTACTACTAGAAAAAGACCAGAAATGGAACCATTGTTAGAAGTTTATCATCCCACTGTATTATTACTTTTTAATAAATTGCTTATTAAAACATCAATATGAAGATTTGATTTAAACAAGTTAGTATTCAAAAAGTTGTTACAGCGATATATTTTGATGGAAATTCTTCAGATGTTGCTCCTTCAAGATCCAAATAGAGAGGAAGAGGAGGAGCAGGAAAAAAAAACCTCTCCTCTTAGCTGAAGTTGTCAATATTTCCAGACTTCAAACAGAATTCCATTTAGGAATAACTATAGTTCACATTATACCGCCCAAAAGACATCACAGAATTAATTATTGGGGCAGGGTAGGGACAAACAATTACTTAGAAAAGACGACAGCTTCCAAATTGTGGAGTTTAGTCTCACTCTCTTTAAACCTAAAATCAAGCCTGCAATTTCCTTCACTGTCTTTGACCAAAAAGCTCAGCTGCCTATGTGTTTTTAGGCTTTTCAGACAACTACATGGATATTACAGTATTTTTAATTTTTAAATGCTTCTGACAGATAATTCATTTTCCAGTCTCTCTTCAGCCTCCATTTTATCCTACACCAGAGGGGCACAAATATGGTCCAGGAACACCATGTAGCACACCAACAATCCTTCTAGCAGCCCTTTCAGACTGAATAGCCTTCCACCTTTTCTGCTTTCTGAAGTATTTAATTAGCAAAATGGATAATTTACAATTTACTTCTTAAAACTCTTTGACACTTTCCCAAAAACGAACCTAACCTCACTAACTGTGGACCATGACTCACAAAAAGTTGGGTGCAGTTCTTGAGTTGAATGAGAGTCTCTACTCTAGTAAAAGGGAGGAAAAAACATTAAATTAAGAGCAACCAAGGATTATAACCTTAGATGAGGGATTGTACAGTCAGTCGCTTAAGAAAAGAAAATCATAGAAAAAACACTGGTGTTTTTTTTAAAAAAAGCCTAACAAAAGAGTGGTAAAGGCGGCAGATAAGCACAAAAGAATCTTCAGACATATTTGGTACATAAAGAAGGATTTCTATGTATATCCTCCTTCAGCCAAAGAACAAATCTGACCCCCAATATCCATGTAAAACAGCCTCTGTACTATTTGTACTCTTTTAATAGTTTAGGGATAATATAGTTCAGTTCATTGTAATGCCATACAAAAATGGAACAATTAGACCAGAGCCTAACTGATCCCTTGCAAGATCATTTACAGAGGACTCCCCCAGATATAACTCATTGGAATTAATGCCAACTGCTATCAGATTTGGTATATAGAATTTGACATTTTACCCAACTAGGTGACCTAGGATATTTTGAGATTTTGGAATGTTGCAGTTATAATCCATGTATGGTGCATCATGCTGAGGAAAACCCATGTAGAGTTTGATCAACTAACTATCAGTTTAGGGAACAACATATATTTCTGCTCCTTTGTCAGTTCACATTTGGCTACCCCTGATCTTAGGAATCTCATTCCTAGATAAACCATAAAAACAATAGACAGGAAAGGCCTCACCTGTCTGTGTCTAAGCACTATATTGCCAATTTATTGGCCACATCATGTATGCCCTCCATTGAAGGGAGAATCAAGTTTTGCAGCTAAGTATTTCAAGTTGCTGATCAAAGAGGGTGGGATACTTTGATCTATATATGGTATTATTAAGATCCAGTCAAGGAGAAGCACAAGATGCTAAGCAGGGCACCAAAACGCTGCTCTCCCCCATGCATTGCAATGGATATTCCTCTGGCTTCTGAGAAGGTATTGGCTACATATTTTTAAAGTACAAAAAGGAAATCAAGGTAGTTAAGGAAGTCAAATTCTGCACACTATATATTACTTCTTTCGTGCCCTGCATTTATAAGGATCAAGGCACACACACAGCCCTGTCTATTGAGAGACAGAATGCAGAAATGTGGTGGACTCTGATTAATTTCAGAATATGTGTTGACTTTTAATTTTCTTTTTTAGCCAGACTAAGCATTTTGCCTTAAATCATAGCAGTATAAACCCGAGTGTATGCACCTACAGCTGAAGTTAATGGAAAGAGAGATTAAGCTACCAGACGCTGCTAGGGAGATTTCTTTTAGACAAAGTTAACCTGTATCAAATTTAATAGTTTTAAAAAACTGGCAGTGTAAGACTTTCTTACAATCATTTGATAGATTTTTTTTTTTTTTAAAAAAGGCACACAGATTGAGAAGTGCTTGCATAAAAAGTCCAGAAAAGTCAAGACTTTTATATTAATAGATCTACATATAAAGACTTTTGGAATGGAAGTCCACTACAGTATGTTACCAAGCCCTTACAGGTTGCTTTAAATCTACTTTCTATTTGATTAGTAAAAATGCTATCCTTTACATACACAAAAATAGTGTTAAACCTTTGACCCAAAGTGGAAATACAAGGTTCAAAGTAATTGGGGGGTTTTTTAAGAGAAAAGAAAAGCCCCATCTGGAGACGTTAGGAATCACACTAAAGTATCTATCCTAAAATAGGTTGGGCCCAAATCAAATGTTTTTATGCCACTGGATTCAGTGTTATTTTCACATACTATTGTGTCCAGTTATTATTAATGTCCAGTTTCTATTAAAAGAAGATGCCCTTGTAGCTCAAGAGGGGAAAAAATCTGCTGTAAATTTCCAGACTACTTGACTGAGTACACCCATAAACACAGTCCATTGATACAAGCAAGAGCTGGTGCACAATATGTCCCTTTGGAGATTCTGCCCCAGAGTTGTAAACAATTACCAGTTCTAATTAGTCCAGATAGAAATATTAGTCATGTAAGTGCAAAAAGAAAAAATTATCCCTGCAGGAAGAAAATTGTTCCCTTTTAAACAATTAGAAGGAAAGGAATAATCCTGGGCAAAGTTTGGTTAAGCAGGAGATGCTTCTTCCCCTCATGTGTATAAATTTTGCACAGACAAATATATACATATATATGTACATACATACAAACATTGCAGGAAACAACTGTAAGTACAGTGCATTCTTTTTAGGTTTAGAAAGCAGGAGTCATGTCTGGTTCCAGTTTGAACTGCACGGAATGCTTAATCCTTCTTTTAGTGGAAGTAGCCAAGCTTCTCCTGAAGCCATTCCTCAGTGAGATCTTCTGTATTCCTGATTTCAAATACCTGGGGGGAAAACAGACACAAAAATAGTTTCAGCAAGTACACCAAGACATGGTTAAAAGAATAAACCACAGTTGACTATGTTGATGCAACCCACTAAGCCAAACCTAAACAAATTACAGTATGGTTTAGCATGCTGTATGTGCTAAGCCAAAAAGACAAGTCATCTAGTCCAAAAGGGAATAAGAAACAGCTATTACATAATATATTTTTAATTTAACTTTTTTAGAAATATACTACTACTGTTGCAGATAAATATGTCCAGGAAAAAGCACACAATCATCTATCCTTGACCAAGAAACCGCTAAAGTTGGACTTCTTAAAAATATATATTGTCATTTGGTTTGGGGCCTTCAAAACAGTGTACCAGCAGATCAAACTACAGTACTATCTTAGGACTTATTTCCCACAGAAACAGGATACTCGAGACCAAGACAGAATCTTTTTAGTTGCAGGTAAAGTCTTACGTGAGATAAATCCATTGTTTCCTTGGACAGCAGATCAAGGAGAAAGCTAAGTCAAAACTTCCTCCCCAGCATTTTAGCTTTTTCTGTGAATGGATGTATTAATTATTACTGGGGAGAACACTGAGTCATGCAAAGATCATCTTTGGCTTAAAGTCTAGGATTTTCTGAAGCTGAAGCTGAAGCTCATCAGTTAGAAATGGAAAAAAGAGGAAGGTCAACTATATGGAAGTGCAATATAAAGTGGCCCAGTTCTTTACTGCAACCTGGTGTTCCCTCAAAATACTTTGGACATGCATCAGCACCTTGCAGGAGCAATAGCCCAAGAAAGATGGAATGAACTAAGTTGCCCACAAAGGCCCTGTTGGATACACCAGATTCCTGAAGCATAAAAAGAAACACACAGCTGTAAAGGAAGAGGGAATGCAGCAGTTCTGGTTATTTTGTGATTTCTCTATTCTCTAGTCTAGATGACTGTTTCTCAACCTTATGCTCAAAGAGCACTCCAAGGACTATACATTGAGCTACTTGCATCCCGGAACCATTACTTGCCACTTATGGCTTCAGGAAGCCAAATAAAATATCATTTTGCATAGTTAAAGATCAATATTCACCAGACAAATCTCCAATGAGCATAGAGCTGCATGTGAACCCATCCTGGAGAACAGCAATTTCGGAAAGGTTATATAGCACATGTTACAAAGTTCAGCTTTCTCTGGAGATAAAATTTTGGTAAGTACCAGATTATGTACATCCTGCAAATATCAGTGTTTGAATTGACAGACTCTAGGGGCAAGACGAAATACAACAACTTGGCAACAAATGCATCCAAGGTTTGCTTCAGTTTTACCTTTGTGAGTTCTGCTGTTTGAACTAATTTATTTTTGCTGCCAGCATACATCATCTGTTGCTCAGGCTTACATCCTGTAATTGTAAAAAAGGAGGAAGGTAAGTAGAGACAAATAAAACCACATTAGTCAGTCTATTTGGCTATAGGTCCTCAGTCCTTACTGCATATGCAAGAAATAACTGGTCTTTTCCTTATCCTATTTGCCACTTTAAAATTAACATAACAATTTCCCCAATCTAATGATTTCCAGATGTATCAGACCAATTCTCACAACAGACTGGCTAGAAAAAGGGGGGGGGGTTGAAATCTTTCAACGCATCTCGAAAATATAAGCTTGGAGAAAATTTGATTAGCTAATTCTGCACACCAAAAAAGATTCAGTTAGCAGTAGCAGCTTCTTAAAAGAAGTGCTTGGAAAATATTGAAAAGGCCAGGCTGCCTTTTGCCCCCTGAATATGCCTATACTTAACAGTCTTTATCTAAAACTATTACATGTACTATATTGGTGGGCACTAGGACGGAACTTTTTCTGTGGCAGCACCCTTAGTCTGGGGGTTTAAGTCTTAAGAAACGTTGATTAAGAATGCTTTAGTTTAAGGGCTGATGTTTTTATTTCTGCTTATTGAGGATAATATATGTCTGTGCTTTAAACTTGAAAAGCATGCTATAGATGTTTTAATACATGCTTATAAAAAACCCAACATTCACAACTTCATGTTTTATAGATGTTTGGGGTTATGACTTCCATAATCTTTTACTAGCAGGGACTATAGGAGGGCACCAGAGGCACTGTACACACATACTTAACAGGAAATCTGATCAACCATTTACTTATTTCACTATCCTCTTCAAGCTAGTTAAAAGATATTTACTGAAGACATCAGCTGCCAATTCTATTCATATATACCAAAAACATTAAACACAGAACATATGTTCCAGAGTCTACACCAGCTTGTCAGATTGGAAATATATAACCATCCACCGAATGTTCTAAAAAGCACGGTAAACGTTTACACACATTACTGAGTGATTCTTATTATTTACATTACAGTAGACCATTATTAGCCATGTGCTGAAGAGATGGTAATTTAAGATGTGAGGGAATATATCTTACACAACTAAGACAATTTGGTATATTAATCTTTAACATTCATACACAGAGACTCAGTGTTCACACATAGTGCTAATTTGGTATACTAGTCCTTAACATAATACATACTCAGTGTTTACACATTGTTTTAGGAGTATAATGTATGTCACAACGTGCATCATGTCATTATACAAACGATGCAAAATTATATTTCCACTATGACATCATAATGTATGTGCATTATTTGACTACTGCAGATGCTAATGGCGTTAAGCTATTGTTTTATTTATAAAGGTTTTCACATAATACTAAGCTATCTCCATGACTTGGGAATGCAACTCCTAGTTGCTATGCAGGTAATCCCTAGATAAATTCAGCATTCAGGGAATGAGAAATTTCCTTACATTTCAAAATCCAATTGCTATCAAGTTATTCATCAACTCAATGTAGAATAAAGTGCGTAACTGCTGAAGTCTTTACAAATTTCATTAAAGAAGCCTTTAAAAGTTTTCTGCAGTCCTGGTGAGACTGAAAACAACTGCATCCCCATTAGCTAACAAAATTAAATTGTTAGCAAGGTCTACAGCCATTCTGTGTTCTCACTCCCTTTTCTGATAACCTCTGTCACTTGTTGGTCTCTATAGACTCTTTGTCCTATTCTTCCTACAACTGCTTTGAATGTTTTGTTGACCCAACATAAAGGCCCTTATAATGAAACTAAGAAACCAAACAACATGGAACTTTTCCCAGCTAATCAAAATGAAAATCCTTAACATATCCTTAAGTACTTTTTATCTTGGATGGCAGCCATCTTTTTATTTCTACTGAAGACAGTTTGCACATCAGTTCATGAGAGTTCAACTTACCAACTGGACTTGAGAAGATAAAGCAGAGGGGGTAAGAGACTCGCCCATCATCATGCTGGTACTTGTAGCTATAGACAATGAATGTGTTCTAAAGGTAAGGAAACTAGAGAACTTAAGTGTGGTTTGTGGAATATTCCACAGCTGGCTTGGTTCACATACACCCTAAACCAGGGGTGTCAAACTGCCGGCCAGTGGGCCGGACACATCATCCAGAAGCCGCACCCACCCCATTGCCGGCAATGGCAAAACCGTCCTGATACATAGTACGACATCACGACTCGCGAGTTTGACATGTCTGCCCTAAACTAAAACCAAATAAACTATAGTCTGGTTTATAGAAATGCATGACTCCAGTATAGAAATAAAGCTCTTCCACCTGCTATAAATCCCTTCCCTTCCTGGACACTTATACAAGAAAGGAGATTCTAAGAAAGATCTGTACACCTTCATTTACCTCTGGACTCTATGCTAAGAAGCACAGTATAGCTTATTGGCTCAGGCACCAAAAATGACAGCAGAAAATCATTTCTCTGTACCAAAATATTACTTTGTTCAATGATAAAAGATATCGAGGTTGTCTTTCTGGAAGTTCATCTTTTAGTTCATCTGGAGATATGCCCTGTAAGAATCACAACAACTAGTATTTTAGCAATGTCCTATTATAGTCAATATGCAATACATTATTACAACCTTCACTCATTTTAAGAAAGTATTTAAAGTCAATACCAGCACTTAAAAACAAATTATTACAACCTGTTAGTTTAGTGCAAGGATATTCTTTTTTTTTCTTTGGCTGCATACATGTATAAATAGATATAAGTAATGTACCTATTGAGACCATGTTTAGCAAAAAACAAAAAGTTTATATATTTAAGCTTGGCAAAACAAAAAGCTACTCCAACTCAGACATACCTCATGTTCTTCATCCAGAACTACCAGCTGTTTCTCTTTGTCAATTTTCACTATACAATAAAAGAAAACAAAAAAAAGTTCATTTAAATTATGCTATCTGCGGGAGGTGGGGGGAATTATTGTCATTCACTTAGGTGTCTTTGTTTTTTTTACTGGTTCTTTTTCTCTTTCACCTGAACTAACAGTCATCACTGAATACAGCAAGATCACTAGAAAAAGTATTTCCTAATAGTCACCAGGCTGCACTAGCTTTTATCACAAGAAGGCTATTTTCAAATTTAGCCAAAGGAGTACCATGTCTGGTCCATGCTCATCTAATATTTGGCTGTTAAGCATTTTCCCAGGGAAGTTGAAACCTAGATTTATTGAACCATTTATTATTAAAACCTACAAAGACTCAAGACACCAATTTCTCCCTTAAACATCCCAATGCTACATAAAGGATCCTGGCTCTACCTTCATTGAAGTAGAAAGAAGTATTAGGTATATATATTGCCTTAACTTATTTATAAAATCAGTAATGGTGTGATTTTAAAAAAAATCTAGTATCTAAATTGTCTTTGCTGGTCTTTGGTGTATCACATCAAGCAAACAAAAGCAATATGTTATTGTTTCTGCATTAAAATACTATAGATGTAGTTTCATTTGAGTTTTGTGCGTTTTGTTAATCAAACCATTGTCATTTACAAATGCTAAAAACATCTGTATCACCATCATAAACATCTGAAATCCCTCCTGAAAACAGGCTTTGAGTCTGGCCAACTTTGGAATGTGGCCTTTGATATGTTGCATAAAGCTGGTGTGGTCCTAAAGCCAACAGAATTCTCACATTCCCGATTTCCGGTTTGTCGACGCAGCTGCCACGGATGTTCGGAAGGTGAGCTCAATCTTCCATGTCCGATTTCGCACCGCTATGGGACCCTGGAAAGAGTTGAAAGTCGCCCTGTAGGGACGACCAGCAAGGAGGGGATCCCCGTTGATCACGGGAGGGCAGTAGCCCTTCCGCTCGATCTGGGGCAGCTCTCCAAACTGGCGGATGAAAGACCGGCCATAGAAATATGGTTCGTCACTAGACTGCAGACAGCCGAAGTCAAATCTACCAGGCACCTATAAAGCAGCGCGGATGAGAGTGGGTGAGATCTACCTCTCTTTAATCCTAACTATTTTTTCCACCTGCATAAGCTGCCCAAAGTACTTTCCCCCCTGTGGAAAGGAGATTCTATCCCACCCTCTAAAAACAGCAGCAACTGACTATCCACGGGAGTTTAAAACGTTGCAAGAATAACTTGATTCCAACTGGATTTTTTTTATCTTTTTAAAATTTGTGGACTAAAAGATTTTTTTTTGAAGATTTGGATTTTTACTTACAAAAAAAAAGTAAAATTGGAAAAAGGATTATAAAAATTTTGGATTTAAAAGAAAACTCTAAATGGTATGGGAGACATCTTGTGGCTAAACCTGATATTACAACTTGTTATTGCTTAAAAGAGACTTGGCTTGAAGCCCAGACTATGCATAAGACTTTTGTAACCTTGACAGATATCAGTTGTGAGAAGCACAGCTGTGTTCTATATTCAGTGACAAAAAAAAATATTCATTCTTTGATTGCAAAGCTTTTAACTTAACACATTACTAAGAGAACATGGATAAAGATCAGGAACAGATTCTCTTTATGTTGAAAGCAATTTATGAAACTATTCTTACAGCTACTGATGAAATAAGAAGTTACAGAAAAGAACAAGATGTCAGCCTAGATATACGAACCCAAACTTTGATTACAACTAAAAAATCAACTACACAGAATATAATAGAAGAAGTGGAACAATTAAATACTATGACAGAAGATTTAACTGATCAACAAACACAGTTAATGGAAAACTCAAAAAGGGACTGACAACATGGAAGAGGGAAAAGACTTTCTATATAAACCAGAAGAAACCTGAGGATCAAGAAGAAGAAGAGACTGAAGGGAAGATAAACATTTCAAAACAACTACATCAAGATGGAAAAATAGAGAGACGATTTGTTAGTCCTTTCAAAAAAATGGCGACTGGATGGCTTTTTCTACTTCAAACAATATATACAACAACACAGGGAGATTTATTTGATGACTTAAAAACATGGACATGAAAAGCAAACTGGCAAAGAAAGCAAGCTAGAATAAGACTGAAGAAAATTGGGGTTTTGACTTATCGGTGAGAATTAAAATAGAACATACTCAAATAGATAAGATGTGTATTTTGAATACTGGATTTTGTTATGAGCCAAGATAAAGAAAACTTTGGTCATTTAAAACTTGGAAGTATAAATATAAATAGTTAAATTTGAATATTGATTTGCTTATAAAGGTTGAATGTAAAAGTAATTAAGATATATATAAGCTAAAAATTTCTTGATGAATGTAATAAATATGGTTTTACTTAGCTGTTATAATAAAAACTATTAGCTTAAATATGAGATAGTAGACATCAAGAGAAAAAGAGAGGAATTATTAAATGTTGACATAAGAGAAATTTTGGTTATTAAATTTAAGACATTTGGAAATTAACAGAAAATAAAAATGTTAAACTGTATTATTAATTAGTTGAGGTAAGATGGTAAGAAATAGAATATATTCAAATAGATAAGATGTGTATCCTGAACATTAGATTTTGCGATGAATTGTGATAAAGGGAACTGTGGTTATTTAAAACTTGGAAATTACAAATATTAAATGTTAAATTTAAATATTAACGGGAAACTAAAAATTGGGAAAAAGTAATTAGGACATTGTCTATAAAGATTGAATGTTAAAATAACTAGGATATGTATAAACTAAAAATTATTGGTAAATGTAAGAAAGTTATTTTTATTTAATCGATATAATAAGAATTGTATTAGTTTAAATATGAGACAGTAAATACTAAGGGGAAAAGAGAAGAAATATTTAATGTAGTAGTTTGAGATTTGTATTAAAGATACTTGTATGTTATTGAATTATCGATTAACTCAGCCGCCATGTTGCTTTTTAAATATTTAAGTGTAAAATTAGAAAATCAATAAAATTTTCTTTAAAAAAAAAATCTCACATTCCCCAGTGAATGCCAACCATAGTTAACTTACTTGTATGCCAAAGTCTGCACTCTTCAGAATTTTGCATGTACATGTAAAATTGTACATGTAAAATTGTACATGTAATTCAAATTCAACTAAAACAATGGAAATGCTATACAGAAAATTTTACATGATTTTGTTTGCACAATGTATTCAAAATGACTCAAAATACGGCAAATCTATACAACCCAAATGCTCCTAGATTTGCTTCAAAGACTTAATGGCCTTTTAAAACTTATGTGTGGGGGTATTCAGAAACAAAAATTCAAGTTATTTTCCGCCAGAAGAGAGAACATGAGACTGTATTATTCCCCCTTATGAGTGTTGTGAGCCCTCCTTTTCAGCTTACTGATAATGGCTGCATTGTTCGTGTCTTTACGAAAACGAAACTTTCTCAGCTTCTCTACCAGGTCTTCAGCAACATCACAAACCACTAGGGATTCACTCTAAAGAGAAGAGGGGCGGGGAGTGAAAGAGAAAAGGCACAGATGAACAAAAGGACTCTTTATTTCAGACATACATAACACTCCAGTCCTCAACTGCTAGAGATGCAATGCATAAAAAAAAATCAGGCAATATCTTATTTGGAGAAAAGCTATAGCAAGTATTTTGAAGAAGAAAACACATAATGAGAATGTAGCACAGTATTCCATGAGAACAACTGTTGCAGTTTCCTAGTCTGCTGCCCTCCAGATAAGTTTAGTTTCATTATATTTGGAATGTAGGGAGAAGATTTCAAGACCCCATTACCAAATCCATTTGGCATATACAGTGGAAGCTTGCTGGAGTTGTTATAGTCCCAAGCCCACTTGGAAGAACCTGAGTGGAGGATGTCTGGCTATTCATACTTCCACTTTCTTTTATTTTCCTGCACAATTGTCGAAGAAATCAAGCTTCAGCGGCAATGGGAGAATGCATACAGTATGAATTCAATGTAACTAGAGGAAAGATACTTATCCTTTTCTTCCCTCAAAATCCTTGATGGTCTTGCCCATTGTATCTCTGTTCTTACCCTCCAGGGTGGAGAACACAAAGTCTTTCAGGTGTTGTTGTTGAATTAACAGTTCCAGCATCCCTTGCCTCTCTGGCTATGCTTGCAAGCTTGCTGGGAAATATTTTGTTTGTTTATAGTGTGAACTCACAGTCTCCTGATTCCTAGCCTGGTGCTTTAACCACTAGACCAAACTGGCTCATTCAGGTATCCCAATGCTTTCCTGCCTGTGGTCATCTCTTCAACCATCCTTGCTGTTGAACGGTTTCTAACTTATTCAAATAATTCCACTTGGCATTTCCTATGCCATCCAAACATCTCTACCATGCTACTTTTCTTACTTTCATTCTTCCTTTCCTTCTTTTCCTTCTTCAAATCCTTCATTTGCTTCTTTTGTAAAGTATGCAACAGAATGCACTATCCTCACATTCAGCTGAAATGAATCTTACTATGATTATAAAAACTAAATATTCTCACTTGATTGTCTGTGATTCCATTTCCCTAGCTTTCCCATTTTGTCTCTCTTAGGTTGCTTTCCACACCATTATGCCTTCTGGATCTGCCTTTTTATTATTTCGATAGTGGGTTCCATAGACAATATGTACAATTGACTATTCCCAGTACTGCATGGCAACATCTCCCAACACACAGCTTGTTATCAGAATTCAATATGGGCAGCAGTGCTAAATACAGTTCTGGGGAAATACATATACATGTATTCAATGTGATTTACTTCTGCAAAACCTAGTAATAATTCTAGGCTATGTTCACATATTTTACATAGCCATAATGTTACTTTGATTTTGGCTTGGAATATGTCTGTAGTGACTGTTTAGTCAGAAACCTATGGTCAAAAAATGACTTGATACATGGTAAAGCCAGCCAAGAGCAGCTTGTGGACTAGCATTGCAGTAGGCAAGGTGATCCACCTCAGGAAGACGGGCAACACTCAGGACCAACATAAGTAATGTACGTGTTACTAAATCAGACAGCTAAGAAAACCCAGGTTTCTTTTCACTCTGCGATAAATAAATTGGGGAGATTCCCATATCCAATATAGAAAGCTATGCATTTTTACAAAATGGGTAATTAGGCTACAAAATTTCTAAAACTGTAGCAATAGGCACCAATTATAAAAGGAAATAAGACAATTTATGGAGAATAGTAGCTATTAGTCACAGCTGCTATATATTACTTCCAGTTGCCAAGGCAGCATGATTTTCAACATTGAGAAAACATTAGTCCGTGTTGAGCTTTGAATTTCTCATATGCACCTGGTTCCAAAAGAAGAAAGCTTCTGCACCTGGTTGTCCAACATGGATATATTACACTAGGATGCTAAAGATGTTTTTATTCAGGGACTAATTGGTAAAATTATTCAAAACAGATATTGCAAATGAAGGCAAATCTACGTGTCCCAGGATAATGTTACAGGATCCAACTGAGTCAGTCACGGGGACCAAAGGTTTATTCTTTCAAGCTTTTGGGCTCATGCTGGAGCCCATCATCAGGGAACTTCTCTCTCTCCATAATATGTAAAACAGATATTCATTATTCTATATTACACAAATAAACCAGAACAGTCAGAATTACATTTCTTTTAAAAAAACAAACACTTGCTCATAAATCCAATCTGCAATCTATTTTACTATATGCATACAATACTCACCGTGTATAAATGCTGTATGAAAATATAACCTGGCAGTTACAATTGCACAAATTATATTAAGCCAGAAAAGCCACAAATGAGTTTCCCAAGCAGATTGACTTGCAGGCATTTGTTATGATATGCAAATCAACTATTTCGAAAAAAAACATTTGCTTATAACAGAAGGTTCTGAGCCTGCAAGGAGTCCTTGAGCATGAGAACAAAGTATCGCAATCTTGTTGCCAAGGAAAAATAATAAAATGGATTCAGAGATCTTCATCTTCTGTATCTTACTGTTTAGAGATTTGGTATCGGTCCTCTGCTATATCAGGAGCCAGTATAAAAACCACAGGATTAGGGGGAGATTAATTTGTTGACCTTTCCTTCTCTCCCTTTGCAAAACATTGCAAAACATTTTGGATAAGAACTGTTTTTGTTTATCTTACATCTATTACTCCAAAGCATAATATATAATGGGTTAAAAATGCATTTTTGAGGGAACATAGCATCTAAGAAAAGTTGCTTCAAAGCACATAATTCCTAGTTAGGGGCAGGAAGGAGATCCCAATTACATCTGATGGGTTTAGAAACACAGATATGTGCTGCATTTCTTCATACCAAAGTCTTAAAATCTCTCACAAATACATAGTTTGGGGGTCACAAAAGTCTTGTTTTTTTAGTTAGGCAAAAGTTTCACCAACGACTTCTGAGCACACGAAGAGATAAGTCAAATTCCTTAATATTAAGCAATATTTGTAGTTAGGAATTAGAAGTTGCAACAACACAAGGGAATGGATTTGAAGAGAAAGGCAATGAAGAATCCCAAGGCCATTCAGACCAATCTCTCCTTGCAATGTACACAAGCTACTTCTCCCTGTCAACAATGGCTATAGATAGAAAATGACCAGAGTTTTTGGACCAGAATAAGACGCAGTAATACCATTACTTTTACAAATGAAAATAAGTATACTCAAAGGTATGGTTTAACACAAATAAGAAAAAACATTAGTGCTTCAAATTATTTTTCTCAGGACTGCTAAGGAGCAGTAATAAAATAAGTCTTCAAGTTAACTCCTAGCAAATTCATGAACAAAAATTTGAGGGGGGGGGGAGTAGCAAAATGAAATGGTTTGCTACTGCCTTCTTCCAGACTTTTTTATTTTATTTTATTTTCCAGTCTAACATCCTTAGATTTTCAGATGATTTCTCATCCAAGAACTAACTAATCAGTCAAGGTTGGCTAGATGCTGCCACCTGCTTAACAAGGAGCATTTAGGTGTCATAATATCAGATTTTGCCAACTCCTTCTACAATTACACATACTGAAAACCCCATTTAAATCCATTGGCATTTTTCCCTAAATAAACACAAATTAGTCAGTTGCAAGACCCCTAGAGCAATTATCATGGATTACAGTTCTCCTTTCAGGATTTTTTAGGAAACAGATCCTATCTGAGGATAAAGTTCAAGTTGAACCCCATGGACCTTTTCCCCAGTGAGACGTCAGTGCTGAACTGAACTATCAGGATTATAAATGTGCCTCAATCACTCCCGGGATTTAAGCCACTCATTTCTTCCACTTTTTCCTTGAAAAGAATGACAAGTGCAAATATAATGCAGATATTTGTCTGTGAGCATGCGTTTAAAATATCTGAGGGGGCTTTTCCTAATGACCACTTAGGGTTTCCCCAACCCTCAAGGTTCAATAGGACAATCCATTATTATTAGTTTTCATATTACTATTAGTTATTAAATATTTGAGGGTCAATGAACAATCTGAAACTTCCTAAAAGGGTTGATGAGCTGAAGAGCGTTAGAGGCTAGAGCGTATTTCCCAATCTCAGAGAAAGAGAGGTGTAAACTTCAATTCCCAGAATTTCCCAACCAGGTTGAGAAACACCGGACTAGAGGAAAAGTATCCATTGCCCCCCAAGGCAGGGTCTCCCAGATGTGCAGGACTCCAAATCCTAGCCATTTATTTTAATGATAGAACAGGAGGGAAAGAAAACTGCAAATGGAAAGAAATGAGCGCTTGTGCTAAGAAAGAGACCTGCAAAATGGGAAAAGAAAATTGCACTTTGGCCCTACCTTTGCAAGAAGCACTGATTTGTCTTTGAGGAGGCGGCAGGGAGTAGCAATTCCAAGCTCTGCCCCTCCCCCTCCCGAAGCGAGGGAAAATTGGAGATAATTTCATTAAAAAGGAGCATCAATCCGAAGATTGGTGGATCATCCCCGTAACTGGAATTCATCGCCTTAACCTTTGTCAAATATTTAGGCGAAGCTTACAGGAATCCGTACGTTGTTTACAAGCCACAATATACCATTCTATTAAACAAGCGCATTGCATTCAATTTAGCTGAATTTGTTGTTATGCGAGGGGAGAGATCTCATTCTCCATTCAATCGCTGGGAGGGGGCTATTTATTTAGAGCTTAAATAACTGCAAGAAGGACGGGAAAAAAGAGAGATGAAAACCCAAACGCTAAAAAGCAAATCGCAATTCCACGACAAGCGATCTCGTGAACTTACCATCTTGTAGCTGCAGCAGCTGCCTTTCCTAGCGCTGGCCCTTTAAGAGGCCGGATGGGTCCTCCCCACTTCAACCCCAATCCAGTTCCAGGCGCACTTAGTGCGCATGGCCTGAGCATTTCCTGAACCAATCAATTGTATCGCTCGGCTCCGGCGGCGGCCTCCCCTAGCTACGGTGAGCGAGAGGCCATCGCTCTGGAACTCCCTCTCAAGTGGGGATCATTACAGCAATTGTCTCCCTGCTTCCCTCCCACCCGAGCGTCCATTCGCCCGCCCACGCCTAGAGAGGCTGGAGGATAAAGAGCGTCCCATAGTCGATAGTCCATAATTCCGGGCGGGGCGAGGGAGACTACTTCCTCCTCGCTCTCCCGCCTCTCAGTTAACCAGGAAGCAATGTTGCCATGGTAACCAATACTCTTTTCTTTTCCAAAAAAAAAAAAAGAGAGAGAGAGAGGCGGTAGTGCCGCCCCCTTCAAAACCGAAACAAAGCCAGGCTAAGCAAAATTAAATAATGTGTTTACTCCTAAACGAAAAACAACCATTACTTACATTTTGGTCTCAAGTTTTATTTTAAAAGTTCAAATTTAACGTTTAAAATTGTTAATGAGAGGGTCCTTGTTTTCTTGCAGACGTTTCATTAGCCAAACTAGATAACATCAGTGCTAGTAAAATTGTTGATATCTCTACTATAGAAGTAGTCATTTTACACCAACGAAATTGTCTTTGGATATGCTGTTGAAGACTTAACCACTTCGTGAGATTGAGACGCCTCTCACAAAGGCTTATTCCAGCCTTTTCCAATCTGGTGTCTTCATGATGAACTAGACCACATCTTCTATCATTTGCAACCAGCATTGTATCCCTATCAGCTCACCCTGGTTTGCATTATAATCCTGGTGGATACCCAATTGAGTTTTATATTATAATCAATTTGTTACTCTCAAAAAGTGTTTCTCAACTTTCACCACTTTTAAGATGCATGGACTTCAACTCATGAATTTCCCAGCTGGTGTGAACTTCAATTCCCAGAATCCCCCACTGGCTAGGGAATTCTGGGAGTTGAAGTCTACACATCTTAATGTGGTCACAGCTGAGAACCACTACTCTGAAAGATACTATCCCAATCATCTCAACAGTCTCTGGGCACTTTTGATTGGAACGCAAGCTTTGGGATGCAAGAGAAACTGGATTTGGAGCATCTGCCTACTAATGACTGATCATCTTGACGGGTTATGCAGGCTCCATAGAAACCTAGATCAATCACTCTTTTGAAAAGGTGGTTTTAAGACTAAGGGTCCTGGTTTTAGATGCATGCTGGTGGGTTAGCAAAGTAAAGAATTGACCCAAAGCTGCAATGACCAGGCTCATGTTCAAAAGAACATCACTCTTATAAATTACCAGGCACCAGGGACCGGTTCCGTGGAGAAAGGTTTTTCCACAGATCGGAGGGGGCGTGGCTTTGTGTGCTGCCTGCATCCCACAGATGGGGCTTTGCTTGTTTGTGCGGACCCATTGCTGAGATGCCACGGCCCGGTACCGGTCCACAGACCGGGGGTTGGGGATCCCTGGATTAAAACATATAAATCAATATCAGCATAAAACAACAGAGTACAAATTATAAACATAATTCTATGGTTGACTACTTGGATGCAAGTCCTGTGGAACTGAGTCAAGTCCAGTAAATGTGTATTGAAATTTTGTTAGCAAAAAAACTGAACAAAATGGAATCAATGGGATGCAAATGAAGTGTATTTGTTGTTAATACTTTTAATATATACAGTAAATATAAAAGTTATGGCAAATATTTGCAAAATGTACACAAATGTTCAAAAATACAAATAGCAACAGCATTAGCACAGAAAAACAACTGCAATAATTTATGTATGCTTAATTCTTATTTTAATCCATCTAAAGATCCATTTAAGTTCATTGAATATGCATGAAGCACTTTACTGAAGTAGTAATATAATGTTTTTCTATTTTTTTCCAAGATCAGCACATGGTTTGGACCTCCAGAAGCTGCAATTCCCACCCTCTCTCCTCGTTAGCCTTCTCTAGTTGGAATTCAACAACTGGCTTTGAGTGATGGTTTTCGTATGGTGGTGTGCTTCAACCTAACAGAGTGACATCGAGTCCTGTATGTACTGACATTTTAAAAAACTGTGTGGGTATGGCTGCATGCTACCAAAACAATATTTAAATGTTCCAAAGAGACAAATAATATATTGTAATGGTGTGTTAATAATAGTATACAGTATCGCTGAGTTGAAAGCGCGGTATAATATAAGGGAGGATATCTGCATTAAACATCACGAAGCGAACCGGTAAAGCGCGGTTGCAAAACGCTCTCACCAACCCGATCTGCAATAACAAAAGGAGGAGGAAGGGGCAAGTTGGGAGGCGCAGCTTCCCGATTTCTTGGCGGGCATGCGCTTCCTTCGCGCATGCGCTCCTAGATGAAAACAAAAAGGGCAGTGGGGTTTGCAGCGGGAGCGTCGCGCCTTTCTCTTTTTCGTTACCCGATGGCTGCTGCGTTGTTGGTGACGCTGTACGAGTACTCGCCGCTGTTCTACATTGCCTTGGTGTTCATCTGCTTCTTGGTGACCAGCGGCCTGATCATGGGCTGGTAAGCCGGGTAGCGAAAGAACAGGATGGTGGGAAGGCTGTGGATGGAATTAGGGTTTGCGCGGCGGTTTCTCGAGTCGGACCGCGAAGATCCGCCGAGAGGCTTGACCGGAGAGGGGAAGCGGGGGTGGAGTATGCCGAAAGGCGATTGTCCTCTAACCCAGTGTTTTTCAACCTTGGAAACTTTAAGATGGGTGGACTTCAACTCCCAGAATTCCCCAGCCAGCTTTGCTGGCTGGGGAATTCTGGGAGTTGAAGTCCACCCATCTTAAAGTTTCCAAGGTTGAAAAACACTGCTCTCACCGGGTACCCTCCGCTTGCCATGGACAAGGATTCCCACTGTCAGATTTTCCATAGGATGTGTGTTGGGCATGGTAGGGAGACGTGGGGTAGTCCAGTGCGTCAGGGTTGGGAATGATTCATGTGGGATTCAACATAGCCCACACTAAGGCTGTTGAAAACATCGGCAATCTTAATTAATTGCTTGTAAAGGGAAGCAGTATTAGGAACCTCACGGGTTGAGTGAGAGGCCATTTAAATGGGGAGGAATTGAACAAGATAATCGGGGGGGTGGGGGATCCAAGAGGTTTAAAGTCTGGCTACTGTGGAATAAAGCATGGGGCTTGGTAGAAAACATGTACAGTAATGGCCAAAATTGTGGAAACCTTTTGGGAAATGTGTACAGTAGAAATGCCACCTTTGGTTAAGTTTCTACCAACTTTTCTTCTAATTTCTTTATAACTGTAGCCTTGTTCACTTAATAATACTATTTTACATCGCTTTCTTGGCAACCAGTCAACTCTTTGCACCATTACTTTAATTTTATTACGTTTTACAAGCTCACTAAATGAAAGAACACAAAAAAAACCCCAACCAACTTGATAGCGATCACATAACACACTGACAGATGTCCTCCTCTCACCTTCAATACATGACATCAATAACTGGATCCTACTGTCATCTGATTGGCTCATTGCCAAAACAAGATGACACCTGATTGGCTCTCTAAACACTCATGCTCATTGGCTACAATCAGATGAAGGAAAGCTACCTGATATCAACCTAAGCAAGTTGTGCTTCCTTTTTCTGGTTATTTGGCTATAACAGACATGTCAAACTCGCGACGTCACATAACATCGTGCAACGTATCGGGATGGTTTTGCCATTGCTGGCAATGGGGTGGGCACAGCTTCCACGTGACGCGTCCGGCCCACAGGCCAGCAGTTTGACACCCCTGGGCTATAACTTTTCATAGAATACAGATAATTGAACAAACTATGTTGCATTACATTCTTGATTAAATTATCTTTCCATTGATATATAATTTTATGGTACTATTCCAAAAAAAGTGGTGTTATTAGCCATCATACCTCAAAAATACACTTTTCCCAAAAGGTTTCCACAATTTTGGCCACTACTGTACAAATCTTTGTTTATTTTATTATGCTTTAAGTTACACTGAAGAATGGGTTACACTCTGTCCTTTCAGGTCTCTAATTCTATGATTACAAACATTTTGTACTCCTTAGGTTTGGATGGGATGTTCCTGTGATTCTGAGGAATTCAGAAGAAACTGAATCAGTTGTGAAAGTGTCTCAGAAACAGATGCAGCAAGTGAAAAATCCATTCAGTTTAGAAATCAAAAACCCAGAAATCACTTCAGCTTCAAGTCAGTATATTGTATATAATATTTGTTGACATTTTCTGTTTTTTCTTGTTTCCTCCATTTTTATTTCTATTTGCCACAAGAAGTGGATGCAGTTTTGGTGATTTAATCTGAAAGCATGTTTATCTTAAATCACTTCTGTTATTATCCCTCCTTAAGCAATAAGCATGCAAAAGAAAATAGAGAAACTTTTTAAGGAAAATTCTGCCCCTTATTGGTTTTAATTTGCACTATAAACTTAACTGAAATAAGAATCACTGTGGGGGGAAAAACACTCAATTTATTTGTGGATAATAATTCTCTGTCCTTGTGGATGTGGGAGCTGAAGCACTATAAGCTCATTACAGAGAATCACTAGAAAGTATGCAGCTGTTTCATTGGTTAATTTTACATGACAAGAATTAGGTCTATTAATAGCACAATTTAACTGACAGTTTTAATCTGAATATATTTATAACCTTATATGGCCTCAAAAAGATAATGGGCCAGCTTTGGAATGCTTTAGATTTTCACTGCTTTTGAGCATGGAAATTTGAAAGAGTAGGAGAATATTAGATAATTTATCTCCTATAAAGTAGCATGATATGAAGATAATATTTTGTATCCATTGTTGAGTTTTGAGTAGCACAATTCTTTGTTATACATTTGTATCATTGTTTTCATTTACCTCAAGATGGCATTACTCTGGTATCTAATTGCTTGGAAGACTGTCTCCTTACATGCTATTGGGGCTGCAGCGTGCAAAAGGTTCATGATGCTCTGCAGAAACATGCTTACAGCTTTCGAATAAAAACTCCCCAGTCTTTTGAGGATGCAATGTGTCATGAGTATCTCTATTGTCAACAGTATTGGTATCCTTTAGTGAAGCTTGTGTATTTTCAATTTTGCACAAACATACAGTGGGAATTTCTCCTCGTAAATATAGCATGTACTAGTAAACAATGCTTCATTGTGGTTGCAAAGAAAAAATAGAAAAATAAGGGGAGTGACAATGTTCCATGCCCTTGACCAGTCATTAATGTCTTTATGCCAATTTTGATTTTAATTATTTATGCTTAAATTAAACTTTAAACATTGCATGCATTTTAAAAGTTAACTTCATTTGTTTTGAGGCAAAATTTCTGCATTTTTTTTAATGTTTATACTAATCCAGGGAAGTTATTCAGCACATGCTGCCTTCTTAGTGATTAGCTATTTTTGCCCCTGCAGAGTGAAATCCAGTATTTGTAAGACTGGGCATGCTTTGAAAATGATTTGAAAAAATTACATTGGAATTCAGATGATCATAGCATCTCTCTGCTACTATTTTTTTAAAGTTGCTGTGCTTTGTTTTGTTTTCTGATTTATATGTAAGCTTGAAAAATGACACAATTGTGATAGTCCCAATAAATCAATTCAGCTCATTAAAATACAGGTATATATCCTCAATTACCACAATTGGAACTGGCAATTCCATTGCTAAGCGAGTCATGTAATTATTGCCTCATTTCCCGGCAGTTGTTAATCAGATTATCTAGGGTGACACTTCATATGACTGCAAGTTGCAATTTTACTGCTGGCTTCTCTGTTCATTCTGCCTGTAGGAAGTCAGCTTTGAAGTGTGTAAATAATGATCACAGGAATGCTGCAATAATCATAAGTGTGAAGACCGGTTGCAAACTTACTTTTACAGTGCCATTGTAACTTTGAAGGCTCACTAAACAGAATATCAGTAAGAAAGGACTATGTCTTTTTTAAGGCTCATATGGAAGTGTCTGCTTTTACAAATGACGGTATGGTGCTTGTATAGCTTCTAACATTCTTCTTCCAAATCATTTTCAAAGCATGCTTAACTCCAATATGTCTACCGCTAGACAGACAAGTTGATAGAATGAATTATATGTACTCCCTGGGCAAGTGAATATTTCAGAATAATTTGAAAGATTAATGATGAAAGCAAAATCCTTATATTTGAACTGAAAGTTACTTATGCAATGCTGGACGTTGTTTGTAGGAGCTAGTAAAATAAATGCAACTATTTAAAGGTTCAATCCTAATTTCTGTGCTCCTGAATAATTAACAGATAGTTATTCTTTTGTCTCAGGTGAAAGCAGTTGAGATTGTAGAATAGTGGTTGTTATATAGTTTGAACTTCTTTTGTAAATTTGATGGCATGATTAGCATAATAGTCTTTATTTGTGACAACTAAGACTGTTCCTTGACACAACAAAGCATAAAGAAGACAGAAAAAGAGGAAAAGCATAGCCAATTACCAGAAGTAACAAAAATCCATGATTTTGGTCTAGTGCCTAGATCTCGATACCCACTAGTGGTACTGTTAACCCTTGCTGATGAAGGCAACAGAGAAATCTATGACATTGTAGGTAATCTCCACATTTTTTTAAACAGGGAGGAATTTGTGTTGTCCTATACATTATAAAAAAATTACTGCTGAATAGAATTAAGATGTTTGAGCTTTTTGATTTCTGTTACAGAACTTTCAGTTTTAATATGAATTTCTTCAGGTTTAAAACCATAACTGCCGGTAACTCTGGAAACTGAAAAAAGTGCAATTATTGAAAATTATAATTATAAAATTATAAAACCACTGATGGTCCTTGGAAATGGTATAGGTGATTATTGATGTGGATATAGTAAGAAGTTGAATGAATTTAATGAATCTTTTGTCATTTTCTTTTTTAAAAATGTATTTTTGCTGACTTAGGGCTATGTAGTCATCATTTTTTTAATGGTAATGTAGTGCTCTATATAAAAGAGGGATTTGGAAGCTACTGACTAGATGTCTATGGAGATTCTGAGTCATCCAGGTCATAGTTATCCTAAAGATGCTTTTTCACGAGGCAACTGGAGGCAAGTTTGTTGGATGAGAAGCAAAACCGTCTTCAAAGAAAAACAAGAAAGTCTAGTTGCCCCGTGACAAAGCATCTTTGGGAGAGCTACTGACTAGGTTTCTGCAACTTGCTACTTCCCAAACGTGTTAAAATTTCAACTCCCATAATTCCCTAACTAGTATGGCTGAAACAGAATTTTAGAAATCATTCCAAACATAGTTCTTGACCTCATCATATCTCATGAATTTACAAATTATACCTGTCTCAGGTAAAAAAAAATACCAAAAACCCCTCACTATTCTTACTGCTTATAGGAAAATCTTAATATTTCAGCAAGCTTTTAACTTGCATAGTCAACTAATGAAGCCAAACTGATTTTCTTAGGTGATCTTAAAATATCACATGACACAAATCACAATCAGCAGGAGCAATAGTTCATTGGAATCTTGTTTGGAAACTAAATGTATTAGTTATTTTCATAATAAATTATTGAAATAAAGGTTACATAGTGATTGCCTTTTTGTTAAGGTATAGCCAATCTGAGTTCAAAATAACTTCAAACCATTTCACAGCTAATGGAAGCATTTATATAAAAACAGTAATTATGACCACATAGATCAGTTAAATCACAGGGTATTAATAGGCAAGTATCATATTCAAAGTAGGTGCTTGATTCACAGCTCTAAAATGAAGTGATTGGAAAGATAGAATAAACATAGTAATAATTATGTGTGTATAGCACAGGCTTAAAAATATATGTGTGGGTTTGAAGCTGACTCAAGATTAACAGGTGCATTTTTCATATGTAAAATCTATAATATTAAAACTTTTGGAGACTCAAGTTAAAATGAATTAACAATTGATATCACCTGTTAACATTTTTAGCTATGCTGTGGTCTGGTTGAGGTTTGCTTGAACTGAAAGGGACAGTGTGCTGAAATAAATATTTCTGTCTTTCTTAAGATTTCAATGGTATCAATAATACATATTCCAGATGCCAGTTACAGGCTTTCCTGCCGGATACTGTATCAGTATCTCCTTTTGGCCCAAGGTCAATTTCATGATCTAAAGGTAAGCTTTCAGATTCATTTTCTAGAACAGGGGGGGGCTTTTTGTCAAAGATTGCTCTCTTCAAAAAGACAAAAAAGTTGAAGCCCCAGAATTGAGAGGCAGGGTGAGACAAGGGTTCCCACAGATAAAGAAATGGACCCTTCATAAGCCCCCATTGGAACCACAGTGTTGCAGAGAGAAAAATGAGCTTTCCAGGGATTTTGAACAAATAGCCATAAAACCAGAAAAAGGAGTATGTTCTTTAAACCAGCAGGTTTTTTTTATTACACACATCTAGAACTGATTTTTAATTGGTGCAGAAGTCTTGTGTAGTGATGCATCAAATAAGAGCAAAACTTTTTTATACATCAGCAAATCTATAATCTTTCGTAATTGAAGACTATAATTGTCTGGATTCTCTGAAGCAAGTTTTTCCAGTCTGCCTCTCTAAATTTCCCCTGTGCATTCATCATTAGGTTTGTTGACAAACATTCTGGGCTCATTTCATACATTAGGTTAAATTAAATTATGGCTTACATCATTATTGTTGAATTCCCAGATCAAAATAAGCCAAAAACAAATATGCCTTATTACAGTTTTGCTCCTATTCCTGCACTCTAAAAACTAATCATTTTTATATTATCACAGTCTTGTAAATCTCAGTCAGTGCATTTGATAGAAATTTTTTATCTGTTCCCCCCCCCCTAGGCTCCTCTTGCAATGGGATTCCAGTAGAAAGTAAAGTTATTCCACAGTTAGGGAAGTCTCTCTTGTGATTTTCTTTATGCATTTATCTGAATAGCAGGACTCAGTGCACTTTTCGCATGTTTCTGAGAACATGGTGAAAATGGGCACCATTCTCTTTCTTTTCCACTAACTTTCTACTGTCACTATTTTCCATTTCCTAATTTTCCACTGTTGCCCAACATGCCAGTGAAATGCCTTTTTCGTTGCATTATTTTTCATTCCCCTCTCCCTTATCTGAGGCTCCCCAATTGCTGATCATGAAACTGCAATTGTAGTATTTGCTCCCTAAATTCTTTTTTTACAGAAGAGATCTTGACTAGGCCATAAGGAGCCTTGGGTATCCATATTTTGGCTCAAAATTACAATCTTACATATTTTGTTCCTAAAATAGTATTCCTCACTGTCAATAAACTTCAACTCTGGAACTTCCACACATCTTAAACTTGCTTAAACACTATCCTAAAGTGACATATGGATACCTATTGAATCCACAAACACCTTCCTTGGTGTTTGCCAAGCTTCCAGCCTAATCCAAATGTTTAGCTTTTGAGAAGAAACAAATGTCAACATAATGTTATTTCTAAGAGAGACTCTATGTTTGAAATACACTCCATTTGGTTTATTAGAAAATAAAAATAAGTCTTTGCATTTTACATAGAAATGTATCAATTTTCCCAGAAAGGGGACAAAGGTAACTGAGCATCAGGGAGTATTCTGTTAAAACTGCCCTTTTTTTTAATCGCTTACCTGCCAATGCATTTAATTTGGGAAGGGGCAAGGCTTCCCCCAAGAGCCATGTTGCAGGAGTGACCACAACGTGTTCTGAAATTCAGCATGTATATGATAGTCCATAAAGGTGAAGATTCCTACTTTGTCCTAACCTAAGGTTTAGAGGGAGGAAAAGAGATATTTGTAAATGTTGGTTTCTTTTTTCTAATTTTTCCCATCTTTCCTCCACCAGCAACTGTTCATGTCTGCCAACAGCAATGCATCCTCTCTAAGTGACTCTTTCTCCGGTGAAAGGACTGAAGACCACGTCCTGCTTGAAAAGGTTGAGTTGGTGGAGACCGAGTCAGAAGTGCTGGAGGAGAGCAGCAAGGACTGCATCGTCTGCCAAAATCGAGCAGTCAATTGGGTGCTTCTTCCTTGCCGACACACCTGCCTATGCGATGAGTGCGTGAAGTATTTCCAGCAGTGCCCCATGTGCCGGCAGTTTGTGAGAGAGTCATTTCCATTACGCAGTTAAGAGAAAGTGAGCCTTGCAAAAGAAGTTCCTGTGTGTTGTACTTATCAGGGACTCTGGCAAAGGATGGATAAACACTTCAGCTGTTGGTTTTTGCAACAGTATCTTTGATCTCACATTTCCTTCTACTTGAATGATGTTTGGTGCCTGGAAAACTCTGAAGCAGCATTTTTATTTTCCTTAACAAGGCACTCAGAAGCATCACTGTGAAGGCCAATGACATAAGGAGTCTCAATTTAGTCTTCAGGAATGGGACAAAGGGAGAAGACCTTTAGGCAACAGAAGCAATGCACTGAACAATGAAGGACATATTTACAGAAAAAGAAATCTTTTTTAAGTATTTCCAGGACATATTATTTTTAGTGTATTCCAACCAACACAGAGCATATGGGGAACAAATATCCTCATATGTAAGAGACATTGGCAATCTTTATTTATTTATAATGATATTAGAGTAAATATCACATAGCTTGGCTTTCAGCCATTAGCAGTGTTGCACTTTTTAAGTTATAGTAGGAAGGGGGGGAAAGGAAATACATAACAATTCTCTGCATAGGTTCAGATGTCTTTTATGTATTCCAGCCTTTGTCAGCTTCGTAATCTTGAAGTGATGTAGGCTGGAAGTTCTAGAGTGCTGACATATCTGGAATTGCCAAGTTGGGGATGGCTGGTATAGTCAGTTTTCTTGGGCTTGCTGGATCTAAGTGTTTACATTCATTTGCAGATGCAAGTATGGCATTGAGTGTGAATTGTTTCTCCCAACAAAAGGATGTCTACAAGATGCACATTCAAGCAAATATTAATTGAACCGCAAATCAGTTTCCGCTTGTCTTGTTCTTGGACACTAAAAATTCATTTGCCTTAGACATGACATGGGTGATGTCATGAAAGGCTGATGTGGTCCAAACTCAGTGTGATGTAAATGAGTCTTTTGACAAAGGAGAGTTCATTTGAAGACTGTTATGCCTTTGAGTAGAAATGTTTTGTGTAGATCTTGCCTCCTGTCCAAGATGCCACTTCTTGTCAGCAAGTGTTGTCAGCGTTTGGACACCTCGCTCTGACTTATCCAAATTCCAGACATAATTTTAGCCCCCGTAGCAATTGTATGGTTTAGTTGAAATTAGAAGATGTCTGCATTCATGCATACATCATGCATAGCCATAATTTCATTATCTGTTTTTGGTTGAGAATCTAGCCGATTCTGGTTTATTAAAACAAAACATGGGTTACAATATTTTCTTTAATGTGTGAATCTAAACAATGACTATGTTTCCTACCTCAGATAGAATTATAATCAGCATTGTCACCCTTTAGGGTCATGTTAGTAACATGGAACACTAAGCCCTGTTGAATGAGAGAAGATGGGCAGCCAATACATTTTACTAATAAATAAACATACAAACAAACACTAGCTTCTCTGCATTCAGAGTACCAAAAGTGAATATGGAAAAAAAATATTACTTTCCACTTTTTATTTTCCATCTATAAAACTTACATAATTCAGCCATTGTGGATTCACACAGCTTGCTGTGGTGTGCCAAACTATCAGGTTGTTGCTTATTCAGTAAGCAGTAGCTTAATGTAATGGTCAGCAATCACTTCAAGTGCCAGATGTTACCACCATCTTAAATTATGGCACAGCCCACTCCGTACCTTACATTGAAGTATTATACAGCCTTGCTATCTCATTCAGAAAAAATTGTGAGATTTTTGTATTCATACCTAAAATTTCCAAATATGTCAATTTTAAAAAAATAATGTTGGGATACCTCTGTTGATCTGTGGCTGAGCACAATGGGATTACCTCTCTTTCACTCCATTCCAAAGTCTCAGTGAGCAAAATTATTATTTTTATTTCTGTATGTACAAGAGCTATCATTACATAATAAAGAGAACAATGTACTCTGCATATGAATGAAAGGAACTAGGTCAGTGATGGCGAACCTTTTAGACACCGAGTGCCCAAAAACTGCCCCGCCCCCTGCCCGCCCGCAGGGCCACCTACCACCTCCATGGCCCACCACAGCAGATTGGCCAGGTGGCCCTGCAGTGCCATAGCAGCCACACACTCCGCCCGCGCCCTGCAGCATCATCTGCGTGCAATGGGGTGCGAGGGTGGAGTCTTGTCCTGGCTGCCATGTCCTTCACTGCACTGCTCTGCGCAGGCCGCACCTGTGGTCGACTCTCCTCTGGGGGGGCTGCTGGTGAGGCTGTGGGGGGAAGCGGGGCTTGGGTGACGGTGCCTGTGCCCACAGAGAAGGCTCTGAGTGCCGCCTCTGGCACACATGCCATAGGTTCGCCACTACTGAACTAGGTTATACTTTTAGAAAGTCTGGTTTTTTACTCATGTTTATTTCAGATTTGGTGTACAAGCTAAAGAACTAGCACCGTTCTGTTTTCTTTCCATCCTCCTCTTTAACCTTGAAATATATGCTCAGTGAGAAATTTATTTCCTTATCTTATTTGTAAAAAAGGAAGATAAAATCTTTCTGTAATTATTTCAGAATCATCAGAATTTACTGGTCTATATTCCATAGAGAGACTTGTCAATAGATGCCAATATTCCTTGTGCCTGCCAGACACACAGACAATATTGAGTTGGATGGACCAATAATCTGAAGTGGTAGAAAGTAGCTTCTAATCTTAGTAATCTTAATTAAGATGCTTGTCAGTGTGGACACTTTGGGGGGGGGGAGCGGTCAGCCCCAAATCCTATTCCAGATGGGTAAATCTGAGAGGGATGCTAGGAGAAGAATGCAAGGAGAGGACCTATTGCATAGAATGTCAGTCCTATAATGGTGGGGGTAGCCTTCTAATCTTCATAGTCCTGCTTATATGAGGGAGAAATACTTAGGACAGCAAAAATTCCTTGCTTCTCGCCAGACATGCTGGCTTCACATAACATAGTTATTTAATTAAACCAGTGTTCTGATTTAAATCATACATTATATTTTATGATTTTTAATACTGTTGTACACCACCCATAGTCAATTCTTGTGAGATAGGTGGCCATATAAATATAAATACAAAATTTAATATCTGGATTCACACAACATGCTAAGCCATAAGAACTACACTTGGTTAATATTTACCCATCTACAAAACATAACTGTTGTGTCACTTTAATTCTAAATAGGTACCATCTCAGCTCCCTTTGATCATTATAGGCCTCAGGGTAGCCCAGGATTCCATCTGTGGCTCCAGAAGCACCCCAAGACCGTACCTATCATTTTCAGTAGCCAAATAGTGAGATTACTTTTACTCGGTTGCAGAGGTTTCTGAGAAAGTTAGTGAGACTTCTAGAGATACTTTTGAGATAAATGTTGCCATCTCTCACTTAAAAGGCCTCATAAAAAAGAAGAAGAAAAATGAAACCGTTGCCATATTTTTGATTTGCCAGCAAGTTGCCAGCCTGTGATTTAGAAATACAATACTTGCCCACCTTTGATTTTCTCCAGGAATTTCAGTTCCTCATCACCACTGCAAAAACAATCAGTGGAACAACCTGCCTCCATAAACTGTGAATGCTCCAACACTGGAAGTTTTTAAGAAGAGACTGGACAGCCATTTGTCTGAAATGGTATAGGGTTTCCTGCTTGAGCAGGGGGTTGGTCTAGAAGACCTCCAAGGTCCCTTCCAACTCTATTGTTGTTGTTACAAAGTTATTAAGTAAGTTGGACTAAGAGCAATTGGCCCCTATTCACCCAGTAAGTTTCCATGGCTGAGGCTGGAACCACACCTCGGTCTCAGCCCATTACACCAGGATTCCTGTTGTTGTCCATGGCAAAATATAAAATACCATATGCATATAAATACTTCCTTGAGCCTAAATATCAATGTTCACTCTCTGATATGCTCCAGAAGTAGCAAAAGGCAAAGAAGTTTGGAAAGCAAAATTAACTAATGGTAAAGGAGTGATTATTTGCAGATTGTTAATTATATCTACTGGCCTTGTTTACATGCAGACATTCATTCCGTTGTTCATTCCATCTCCAGGGTCTACAGCTGATCAATCCATGCAAACAGTTTTCCCCTGTCAGTGATGCCACCAGCTGATTTTTCATCCCTACCTCCATCATCTGTTGTTTTGTCAGCCTCTCAGGGCTGTCAGTGTCTTGATTAAGAAAATCTGAAACTCCTTCAAATGTGATACCAGAGACAGTGCTGTAACTCCTAACAGATGGCTTCTGTTCTGTTGGCACGATGTATTTCATGTTTGCTTAATTAGTTGCATGTCATATTGAAAGCTGAAACGTGTTTGCATGCCAGGCAGAAGCACATAAGAGAAAGACTGGCCTCAGCCCTTATGTATAGCCTTCTTAAGCTAGATACCCTCCAGATATATATTTTGTAGAATCAAAACAATGGCATGAACTTTAGAGGTTATCTCATCCAATGTGCTATTCAATGCAGGGTCCGCTAGAAAATCCTCAACAGATGACCATCCAGCCTCTGAAGAACTCCTATGAAGAAGAATCTATCACATGTAGCAAGTTGTTCCACTGGCTGCCAAATTGTATATATGGAAACAGATATTAAAATCCCAACACATTTGGAAGATGCTCAGCTGATGATGTCTGGGTTCAGAAACCATATGAAGCTATGACTTTTAACTGGCTTTTTTTAAAAAATGCCCTGGTTCATGCATAATACTCAGCCATAAATCATGGTTTACAGCTATAATGGCTGAGTTCAAGCATTATCACACCAAACCAAAACCAAGTACAGTTGGGTAATCTATCAACCCCAACCATACAGTATAGCTATGATGTTCCAAGCAAAAGGCGATCTTATCTGGAGAAGTATTGCTCTATACTGTACTCTTTGCAGTATTTATTTTGACTGGACCAGAAGAAGGAAAAAAAGGCCAAACCTCTCTAGACAAGAACCCATCAGTTCTTCCCACTTAGTGAACTAGAACTCTCAAAATTCCTCAGTTCTGCAGCCGAATGAGTGCTTCGCTCAATGTTAGAGCATATATTTTGCACGCAGAAAGTTATTTCTAGCATTTCCATTTCAGAAATGTATTTGGCTGATTGTGGGATTTATGCCCACGGCATGCCAGTCTGTAACATTTTACAATAAGATATTAAACACTATTGAATAACAGCATTGAATAAAACAAATCAATAATAATGCATAAACAGCCCCCTACAAAGTCCTCAAGGTGTAGAGGTAAAATGCAAAACAAAACAAAACCAAAAAAGCCCTGGATGGGAATGCTTGTTTATAAAAATAGGTCTTTGATTTCTCTTAAGATCAGCATGTAAAGGCAAAGGCCACTTCTCAGGTGCAGGGAGCTCCTGGCCTACTTGTTTCTAACTGGTCTTCTTAGCAATGCCTGTAATAAGCCCACAAATGACAAACACCACTCTCAACTAGTAAGGTGATAGACAAGGTGTTTCTGTAGGTAAGCAGGACTCAAGACATAAGAGGACTTGTTTGTAAAAAAAAAAAAAACCCATACAAGAAGCTAGTGAAAGAGTCACATGTTCCTGGAGGGAAACACGCAACAAAAGATTGGTTGCTGAATTTTGGACCCACCACAGTCTTGGTTTCCTTCAAAGATTCCTGTACATAAAATGCATTCTATCTGAGAGGTGGATAGCATATGGATCACAAAGGCCAGGTCAACATTGTCCTTAGAAGGGCAGAATTTAGTAAGTGAAGCACACTTAAGTGGGGTCAAGCACATCTCTCACTACTTTGCTCACATCCAGAGTATAAGCCCTTTCCTTCAGGGGGAATGTCACTCCATCCAAGGTTGGCAACATCCCTTCCAAAGAATAAAATTGTCACCAATCCTCACACTTTAGCTTCAGTTTTAATCCTTCATCCAGGCTGCATTCCAGTTGAAGCAGGAGGTAACCATAAATGCCAACACATCTTAAAAAAAAATCTGGATTATCCACATAAAGATGGCACCTATGATTTTTATAGTTTTATGATTGTTTTTATATATTTGCTGTTTAATTGTATGCCACCCAATATCACTTCCTGTGAGATGGGGGGGCATATACATTTGATCAATCCTTCCATCCATCACTACTGTCTCTTCTTCTCATTTCCAGCTATGTCTCCTACTTTACAGCTCCAGTTCTGTCTCCACCGCTAACATCTATTATCATTCTCTCAAAGTTCCAGAAGTTGAGTTTCCTATTTCCCAATTCTTGGTTAATTCATTATATCCAATTCATTTGTTTCTCATTAATCCAGTTCTCATAAATCTAAAGTAGAAGAGAACATCTGTAGCTCAGGGTTGAACTGTGGAGTACTTGGTGCTCTCTGAGCTTGGTTGTTTGGTTGCAGACATTTCATTACCCATATAGGTAAATCATAAATCTTCCATTAATATTAAGGCAGTATTTCT